ATAACACAGTCTGCTGATGGTGAATGTACAGCTTATAGTGAAATGCCTTGCATGTAGGAGTGTATTGAAAAGCCGAGGAATAATTGCAACAGTGACCAATGTCCTCCCAGTCCTTCCTTCCAGTTGGAAATCTAACTGCAGTTTTCAGCTTTACATTTCTCCTTGCAGAAATAAAATAGAGAAATCCCCAAGTCCCATTGTTTTAAAGTTACTGATCAAAAGAATAAAGATGGTCTTCTGGAAACCTGAATTATTGGGATGCCCTGGAAATGTCATGCTGCAAACAGTGTTACCTGGATAGGGTGCCATTATGCGTGTTCTGACTGCTCCTCCTTGAGAAGTTTTCTGATGGAGATTTAAAGGCAGGTGTCCTACAAGAACAGTGCAGTTTTGTGGGGTTCTGCCATTGCTATGAAGTTACTTTGTTATTAAAAACTGCAGTGAACTCTTTTGATTTCAACCTTTTGAACTGTATCCTAATGAAGCATTTTGCACGTTCCATGGAATGTAAGGAAGCAGGGAAGCCTGCCTTTCTGTGTAATTGCAGTTTGTAACACTTCTATGCTGATGCCCTTTCTATTTCCAGAACTGCTATTGAATGGTCATAATCTCCTGACAGAGGCTGTGGAAATCCTCAGTCTGTTAAAATGGAGGACATTTAATGATCCATCTCTCAAAATTGCCTTTCCGCATTCTGCCACCAAGGGAGCTGTGAGCACGTTGTTGTCACCACAGAGATAAGGTAACTTTGTGCTGTTTGGTCTTGCCAGGTGGCTAACAGCAAGCCTTCAGTAGACAAACTCCAGACATTAAATGCTAAGTCTCTCTTAGACTAACATGAAGATTATTCAACTGCCATCTGCAGGGTTTATTTAAGACTTCAGTCATCAGTTAGTATGTATGTAACCACCTCGGCTAGGAAGAAAGTACTCTCCCTTGCATTTTTTTTCTTTCCAATAATTTATTCTGTGTAAATAGACTGGTTCCTTTCTCATGTCGTGGCATGACATGACCGTAGTATGGGAGGAGGAATTGGACACGTGGTGAAAAGTCTTTTGTATGCAAATCTAATGTGGCAAATTTACATACTAATTTTGGATGATTTGGGAATGTGGGTAGTGGCTCTAGGTAGAGTCAACTAGACTTGTTAGTTTAGGCTTCGTGCCAAGCAGCAGGAATTGCAAAAAGATGGATGAATGGAAATAATAGGCTGAGGTGAATGGACAGGAGGAGAGGGAGAAGGTGGTGGTGCTATAAGCCTGGTATAGCTAAGTACTATTAATAAGTACTATCTCCAAAGATTTGTATGACCCAAGGAAGAGTCTCAAGGTTATGAACCTGTGAATGTTTCCATGCTGATGCTTGTGCCCATCAGTCTATGTGGGAGGCATAAGCTTTGAAGTCTGAGTACTGTGAGTACTCTGAGTTAGAGTACACTACCTCAAGCGTCTAACAGAGATGGACAGAGAATCTGAGTTAGTAACACACGCTAAATTTACTCCTGACCATAAAAGCCACAAGTGTTAAATCTAGCTGTCAGCTCTCCATAATCTGTCATAATCTGTTTTAAGAAATGCTGAGAGGTGAAGTCATGGTTTGCACTGGAGTTGAAATCATGCCTTATACTCTGTGTACACATTACGTTCAGATCAATCTGTGTGGCTGAACCTTTGTTTTTTGTTTATTATCCCTAAGGCTTTTTCATTATGATTGCCTGGACAGGAACTTTCATCCATTGTTGATCAAGAAACACTGATTACGTACCAGAAAATGTTTTGTATGCAAAATGTGTGCAGCCAGGGATGTTACAATTTCAGTTCTTTTAAGATGCTTTAAAGAAAATTTTCTAGGTGCTTCTACTAACTTGAATTAAAACAAAACAAAACAAATAATAATAATAATAAAAAAAACCAAACTAAAAAACAGGCTGTTAAATGTTTTTGATATGTTATGTGGATAATCTTCATCTGAAAACTGAATGTTCTGAGATATTATTATTCAGGTGGTTGTCTAGTTGTCTTCTTGCCTGGAAAGTATTTTCTGTGTGTAGAATTCACAGGGAGGTGATTCGGGATGATGAAAGAACTGTATTAGCGAGGAGGGTAATTTATTGGCTCAGATTCTTTTGCATACATTCTTGACCAGTTACTTAATTTTTGTAAGTAACGAAATGTTCTTTTAATCTCACTGTTGAAAAAATGTAACACATTTTCTCCCTTAAGACAAGACGTGTGATTTAAATTCATTTGCTGGAAATCTTTTTAAATCAGCATTCAAGTAGAGGAGAGGTATGGATCCACCCAACATAAAAATAATATGTCAGGAAAGTTTCAGAAAGCAGCGGGTATTGCTTCCCCCACAGATGAATTCCTGACGCTCCCTGAAAACTCTGTACTGTGCTGCCGTACTTGGGGGAACTTTATGCAGTGCAGAAGTTCTTCAGTTAAATGAACAGAACATGAACTCACCACTGTAGTATGTAGTGCTGTTTGCTTAGACACGAGAAGGCCTTTCAGTAGACAGAGTAGAAATGTTTTTTAAGGAGTTCTGCAGATTAGACTAGACTTCTAGATTTTATAGACCTGAATGATTTCTTTACAAGAGGAAAAGCCCTGCCTTTTTTTCCCTGTCAGGATAGCTTATGTTCTCTGCCTGAGGTTGACACAGGCGCTGGGTTCCGTTGTCCCGTTTGGCCTTACAGCTTCTCTGGAATCAGGCAGAGCCAATTCCTGTCGTGGTGGGAGCCCATCCTGGGGTTCTTAGCAGAGCCCCTAGGATGCCTTTACGAGTGGCAGTAATCTGAGGCCTTTGGCCAGAAGGGGAGGTGGAGCTAAAGGGTCAATTTGGGGGAAAGATGGGATAGGGAGGGCTTTACCAGAGGTGATGTAAATGCATTAAATTAAAACCAGGATTAAGCACTAAGCTTAAGTGGGGAGATGCTAAACCATGGATAGCAGAGCTGCTTTGGCTGGCTGTCCTGTACCTTGTAATCTGTGCAGATAGCAGCTTTAATCACTAGAGGCTCTGAGCTGACGGCTCCTGAGTGCTACCAGAAATTAATTGCTTGGTGCCACAGCAGCCCCTCCTTGTGTTGGCAGCTGTTGATGTTAATTTCAGTACTTGCTGGAGTGTCCAGCAGTCTGTGCCTTCTCTGCACAACTCACGCCCTTCTTGATGACGTGTAAATGAATTTGGTTGTTACATAGTTTGAATCAGTCATGCGTCTGCTCTGTATCAAAGTTTCTTCATCTATAAAAGCTTTTTTTTTCTTTTCTTTTGACTTAAATGGGCATAGATTGGACAGAAGATTCCTGACAGTTTGTGGTTTGGTTGCTTGTACAGACGCAGAATGGGTGGGAAATCTGGAAAGTATCTGTAGGCCCGGAAATGGGAGGCGCAATACATGCAGTACCTGATCAGTTACAACATTAGTGACACTTGTTGATGCCATCCCCTACTTTGTCGTGTTTGACTTGCATGGAAAACACCTGCATTTTGTAACCTGCAGTTGGGTAACCAACAAGCAGTACTTGGCATTACCTCAGCTCAAGCACTGTGTTCAGTTTTGGGCACCTTAATACAGAAGGGACACTGAGGTGCTGGAGCAGGTCCCAAGAAGGGCAATGAAGCTGATGAAGGGCTTGGAGAATGTGCCCTATGAGGAGAGACTGAAGGAGCTGGGGCTGTTCAGTCTGGGGAAAAGGAGGCTGAGGAGAGACCTTATTGCTCTCTTCCAATATCTGAAAGGTGCTTACAGCAAGAGCAGGGTTGGTCTCTCCTCATTGATGATAGTTAGCAGGATGTGGGTAAATGGCCTCCAGTTGCACCAGGGTAAGTTTAGGTTGGATATCAGGAAACACTTCTTTACAGAACGGGTTGTTAAGCACTGGAATGGGATCCTCAGGGAGGTGGTTGAGTCACCATCCCTGGATGTGTTTAAAAACCACCTGGATGTGGTGCTCAGGGACATGATTTAGTGGAGGGCTGTTAGGGTAGCGTGGTTAGGTTGCGGTTGGACTTGATGATCTTTAGGGTTTTTTCCAACTTGAGAAATTCCATGATTACATGAAAAACAGCCTGGCACCAGAGAATCCTTGTTTTTTTCTATGATATATGTTTTCAAATGCTCCATTATGATGCAGAAGACAGTAAACTGGGAGACTGCCTTGCATATTCTTACATCAGTCCTGGAATTTTCAACTCAAACTAACATCAAAGAGAATGGATCTGGTGGACTGCACTGATGGAGCCTTTGCTCTAGCTGTTGAAAACACCAGGCAGCTTGAGTACTGATGGCACCACAGGGTTTTTGAGTTAGGTATGTGTTCATCTCCTCCTTTGCACTTAAGTCTTTTGGTTTGCTCTTACCGTCACAGAGATGTTAGCATGGAAGAAATACACAATTTTAAAAACCTAAGAGCAAGAAACAATTTGCTTTTTTCTGTATTTCATCGAGTTACCCTGCTGTTGTGTCATACAAGAATACTGAAAACTTTCTTCCTCATTGAAAGGTGCAGTTTAGGTGTTCGTTAGGAAAACACTGCTTTCCAGTGGGCTGTAGTAACTTTTTGTGTTGGTGCCCTGAAGGTAACATACTTCCAGGTGGTAGGTGCACCTGGAACACTGTCATCCTCTCTGATCACCCTGAAGAAGATTCTTACGGCCAGTAATGTCAATTTCAGAAAATCACCTATTTTCTGACTGCCTGCAAGGTCTTCCTCAGACCTTCCCAAGGTCTGATGTTAAGCAAAGTATGTGTTTTAAGAACATTTCCTGAACAGCTTAAACACGTCCCCTTCCCCTTCATGCATTTAGGATTTTTTTTTTTTTTTTTTTTTTGTAAAATGCTTTAACAGTGTTTCTGTTAATATTCAAGTTAGAAATCCCCCAGTTAATGCCAAGGCAAAGCTCTGTGGACTGAAATAGTACTAAAACTTAAGTATGTGTAGCTCCTAGGAATGTTTCAGTTTTTGTAAGTTTGTATTAAGAACAAATCTCTCTTTATCACTTTAAATTCTTTAATTTTAGAAATTGTTGAAGACAGTGTTTTCCAATCAGTGTGCATCGACAGCCTTGGTCAAAACACAGTACTTCTTTCTAGTATACTTATCATACCAAAAGCATACCATGAAGTCACATTGCAGTAAGTTGGCACAGTGAGTTTTGCAAGAACTGAACGTCTTTAGAAAAGTGATTAAGTAAACTTCCACATTAACATTTTAATAGCTATAAAAATGCTGCTTCCAGCTCCTACAAAACATGCTAAAGAGATATCCCCACAAGAGCTGAAAAACTATGCACAAACAAAGGTCAGTATCATAGGAAGACAGGTTTTATACAAATGAAGCAATTAAGCAGTTAAAAGTATTTACTTTTTCCTGCTACTAACTAGACAAACATACAGTAGTCAGATAAAAATATACTACAACTCTAAGTCCTGTAACATATAGGAATTTCTAAGTTTCTCTTCTAAGTGGAAATTTTGTATTTTGAAATGTGTTACCTGTTAATACTGGACAAAACTATTGGCAAGTGTTTAAATACTTTCAAACCAAGATTAAAGGGGTTTTTATTCCACCAAAAAAAAAAAAAAAACCAAAAAAAACCCAAAAAACCAAAAAACCCCAAAACATTTTAAAGTACTATGCTTATAAAATTATTTAAAACTTTCAGCAGTCTATAGATTTCAAACGCAATTCAATTCAAATTAGAAAAACAAAACAACTCCAGTGGTGTCATTTGTTTTCAAAGGCAGATTCTTTTGCTGGTTTTTCAAGCTCTTTCTCTTCACCACACGTCCTAGAATTACAATAAAAGAACATTAGCGACCATGAAAAAATGCCAAAAGCAAGTCTTACACCCGCTTTTTTAAATACAGATTAAATTATATTGATACAAATTCAGCAGATGAAGCGTGGAAATTGAAGAAGGTACGGATACCAACTGTGTGCCCTCTTTTAAGTGGACTGTCCCCAGACATGAAGCTAAGGTAGCAGAAACCGATACCACACGAATGAGTATGAGGAGCTGTGAGGAGGAGCAGCCATTCAAAGGTCAGTTTGGGTTCTCTTCAGGCAATCCTGCAGAGTCCAGTGCCAAGCGTATCAGCTCAGATGGGAAAGCAGTCTGGCTTTTTTCTCTGCACTTCAGATGCACATTTAACATGTTACTGCTCTTGCTGGTAGCTCCAAGGCTGAGGAAACCTTGGGAAGCACCATATGATTCTACCAACAGAAACTGGTTATTAAGTACAAAATCACTACAGAAGTATTAGACAGCTTCTGTCTTCCAAAATTTTTGAAATACGTATTCAGAAGGGTCTGAATGTGTCTAGCCTCTTATTTACAAAAGGAACAAAATTCAGAACTGAACATGCAGGCTCGCACTTGAGAAGTTTATAAATTACATGCTTATATTCAGGAGTGGGGACTGAACTTTGAACATTCATGTATTTCTGGTTATTTTGAGTACGAGCTTCACTTCTAAAAAACAGAAAACTGTACCAGTATGTAGCTTTCTTGAATTGAGACAGGTATGCAGATGCTTTTCTCCATCCAAGGCATTCGTAAGAGGTTTTACAAGTTCTGTTTTATGTTCATTGCTTGTTAACAGAAGCTGTGCAAGGTTTTAAACAGAATATGATTGATTTCTTTGTTTACAAAGGTTAAGGAAGTGTTGGAGAGTGTGCAGTTCAAGGCCACAGCAAACTACACTACAAACACTTCAAGAGACAAATCTTTATTGGCAGAACACGTGACCCCAAAATAACTCATTCGTGGAATATGTATTTGCAAGTCCTACATATAAAGTCACAATTACTGAAGTATTAAAATTTACATTGTGTGGTCTCTGTGGTGCTTATTCTGAAACTACTATATTCAGCAGCCTGATCCACGCTTGTCATTTAAGTTTGTGAAGTAGCTGCTGTAAGCTTTTTTTCTCCCACTATAGCATCAAGCATGCACTCAAATACTCTTCCTCTTTTTCTTCTAATAGCAAATATAAAGTGAAATCTAAGATTATCTTTTTTTTTTGCCATTGGAAGGTATTTTTTACTAAGCTTGGAAGGAGTAAGAAAAGAAACAGGCAATGAAAAAATGTGTACCTTGGGGAAACCACTTAAGTAATCATTAATTTCTAAATACTTCTACAAATATACTCTCTGGACAACTAAACTGATTTGCTATTGATTTCAAGTAACTCAGTATGGTACTAGTGAAGTGCAACATCTATGTTCACATCTCCCATTAAAGCAGCATATTTTACTCTGTAAGCTGTGCTGGGAACCTGCACTCATTGCCTTGATTACATTCCCTTAAGGCGCAGCTTGTTGAAGGCCAATGATGTGAGATTCTTGTCACTAGCTGAGAATAACCAAATGTCATTTCTGAAGGGTGTGTAAAAAGACAGCATTAATTTCAAGGGTATCTCTCAGCTAAAATCAATTTTGCATTAAAAAAAAAAAAAAAAAACGAAAACAACCTTTAAACACCATATTTAGTTTTTCCAACACTAAATTGTCAATATTATGCTCATTTTTGCAGTTTCAATTAGAAATATAGCCAGAAGAATGCCAGGCAACTGCAGTTCCTCCTAACTCTATGAAAAAGGTAATGAGAGGAAAGCTTGCAGTAATACATACATAGACAAAAAGAATCCCTTGAGAACAAGTACAGAAGTGCTCATGAAAGAACCAAACTGGTATTCTGTGTTAAGGGTAAACTTTGGCTTTGGCTCTCCCCATGTCCCTACTAAATTTTATTATTTCTTGTGTTCTACAAGAGTCTGAACTGCATTTTCAGTGAGGCTAAGATTCAAATATTCAGGAGGAAAGTATCTGAAATTCAATCAATTCAAATTCAAACATTCCTATGGCTTCTCATTTAGAAAATGTAAATGTATCAACTGCTGTAATGATGAGCTCTAAAATGTTAGAAGTTTCCACTCTAGCCCACAGTTTACTTGCATTTAGCCAATAATGGTAACAGTGAAGGACTCAAGGGAATGGCACAGAGCTGCATCAGAGTTGGGATGGGCTTTAGGAAGAGGTTCTTGAACAGGAAGGCAGTCAGGTACTGAACAGGCTCCTAGGGGCAGTGGTCAAGAAACACGTGGACAGTGCTCACAGAAAAATGGTTTGAATTTTAGGTGAGCCAGGTGTTAGGATTCAAGCCCTGTGAGTCTGTTTCAACTCAGGATATCCTATTCCACCACTAACTTAAGAGGTTTGGCTGCTGATCAGAAGAAATCCCTACAGGAGAAAAACATTTGATGAATTTCATTTGTTTCTGTAATGTTTGGTTCAGACATAATTTGAGTACTCTGAAATACAATAAAAAGTCAGTACCTTCCTCTGTCTCACTGCCTCCTGTTTTTCTCCTGAGAAGATAATCCATACTTTACTTACTTCAATCTCCTCAACAGCAGTGATTTCAAAAATAAAATTTCATCATTCTTTGAAAAAAATTTTTTGAGAAAAAATGTGAAGAAACTAAACATCATGCAAGGTGTTAAATCTATTCATATTCTATTTGCATCATTTTACTGTAACAGAACAACTCCTTAGTTCATTAAAGTCATTAACTCACTTTTTCTTACTACCAACTTCATGTTTATCTTTCTTTTCTTCACCATTCTCTCCATTGTGCTGTGATTGATTGGTGTCTTGAGTTTCAGGCCCTCCATTCAGAATCTTTGAACCTTTATAATGAAAGAGTAGAGGAACAATAATACAGCAGACAATAAAACTCTGCTGTAAGAAACCCCAGATTAATTTCTTACCTTCAAACTCCTACACTGTAAATGTTTTCTCCTCACCTTAATAACTAACAGCTGAAATAATGCAAAACAAACAAATACCAAATAGTGTTTCAGCTTCCGGAAATTCACCGTAACGAGTTTCATCACAATTGTCCTGATGGGAAATAAATTCCTGGAGATTTCAGGTTCCTGGCTACAAATAATAATATATATTCTGAAAATACTCCTCAGCAGTGCATTCTGTTCATCACTCTACCTCAGGTAGGTACTTCATGTGATCCCACCTGCAGCAGCACATCATCTCTGTGGCCCCCAGAACAAGAAAATGGACCCGGTGGGGTGCGTCCAGAGATGGTCACAAGGCTATCAGGGGGCTGAAGCTCCTTCCTTACAGAGCAGAGGTTGGGTAATTTGGGCTTGATCAGCCTGAAGAAAAGAAGGCTTTGAGGAGACATTCCTGCAGTCTTCCAGTACTTAAAGGGGGCCAGCAGCAAAGATGAGGAGGAACACTTCATCAAGGAATGTAGCAACAGGACAAGGGTAACAACTTTAAACTGAAAGAATGTAAATTTAAATTACACATTAGGAAAAAAATTCTATATTATGAGGGTGGAGAGGCCTTGGCACAGGCTGTCCAGAGAAGCTGTGTGTGCCCCATCCCTGGAGGCATTCAAGGCCAGTTTGGATGGGGCTCTGGGCAGCCTGACCTTCTGAGCTGGTGGGTGGCAATCAGCTCACAGCAGGGGGTTGAAACTAGATGATCAGGCAGATAAGGAGCCTCCAGGGGCAGCTGGGGCAGAGGGGACAAGGTTAAGCCTTGCTCTCCACCAGCATCACCAGCCCCTCAAAGTCACTGCCCTCGTGGAGCAGTACAGCTGGGAACGTGCGGTAAGATACAGCCCAGGCTGGGCACAGGAGGAAGGTGCAGGCAAGGTACTGAGGGCAGTGAGTAGAGGGGGGAGGCTGTTTGACACTGCCCCCACAAACACTGCCCATGGGGGATGAAGCCTGGAGAAAAGCAGCAGAGGCATGCTCCCCACACTCCTGGGGTGCTGCCCTTCTGACAGGCTCCCAGGAAGGTGTGAAGAGCCCTGGGGAACCTGTCTGTAGCCCTACCCAGTCCATTCCTGGGGCTGCTGTCTACTACCGACCTTATTTCCAACAGCTGCTGACCTCAGCGAGCTCACTGCCTTCCTACAGCTCACAGGGCTGAGTGTAATAGTGCTAGTACTTAAATATATGTATACGCACATATGTGTATATACTAGTTTTACATATATAAAAATACACACACACACTGTATACACAGACAACAACAGGCAGTGCCAAAATGGCAAGAAGAGAGAGGAAAGGGAAGGAGGGCAGAGTCAGACATTTCCTTTATAATAAAAAGAAAGGCTCCACCTAAATGTGAGTGGAGTCTGAGGTCACCTATAAATATCCATCTAGAGAGAGCTGGATGCGCAGAGCAGAAGGGGATATGGGCTTGTACAATGTCATCATCCCGGTATGAGCTGCATTCCATGGGATCTCAACTTCTTCTGGACTTCCAGTGCTGAATAAGCCACTGCAGGGTAATGTTTATGCTTTCCTTTTGTTTGCAGGACATGGAGTAGCAACGAACCTCAGTTCTGCACGGCAGACAGGCTCATCTTCTCAACTGAGCTCTTTCTCATCCAAGGCACCAGAGAGATCTCCCTTGATCGTGTACCAGGACTGGGATGCTCTGGAGCTGCAGTGTGTCTCACAGGTTGTGAAGTTCATTCTTCAAGGCCTTGAGCTTCTCCTCGGCAGCAACAGTCACTATATACACCATAGCTCTCACTCCACAGTAGTATGGCTCTCACATGCTGTGAAAGTAGCTGGTCACTTACATTCCCTTTGAGGTTCTCCTCATACTGAAGCCTACCTTTGGGACTGTGTCTTTGTTGAACCGCTCACACACAATGACACTGATGAAGGCAGTCTTTGTCAGCTGTAGCCCCACTAGAGTCAGCACCATCTCCTCCTCCCAGAAGAGCACCTGGAGTGAGTCCAGCAGCTCACTGAGAAGGGCCAGCATGCTGCTGCAGTGAGCTCTCCAGGCTATACCATGTACAGCTGGGCGTACTCAAGATGAGCACTGCAGAGCAGGCCAAAGTGGGTGGAACTGGGCTGGGCCACACCAAACCCTGCCATACCTGTCAACCATGCCACAGCTCTGGTATTGTCTGCATGCAACTGTTATAAACAGGAAAATTACGCATCATCTTGACTGCAATTATGTGAAATATGCAGGATAACTAGGGAACGAGGCCTAGTTAGCATGAGTTCATGAGAGGCAGGTCCTGCTTGACCAGCAAAATCTCCTTCTATAACCAGGCGACCCATCTAATGGATGAGGGAAAGGCAGTGAATGTAATATACCTGGACTTTAGCAAAGCTTTTTGACTTAATCTTCCACAGCCTTTTCCTGGAACAGCTGGCAGTCCACAACAAAACAGGCTGCATGGCCAGTCCCAGAGAGTGGTGGTAAACTGAGTTAAATCCAGCTGGTGACCAGTCATTAGTGGTGTTCCTCAGGGGTCAGTACTGGGGCCTGCCCTGTTCAGTATCATTACTGATGATCTGGACAAGGGGATTGAATGAGCCCTCAGTAAATTTTGCAGGTGACACCAAGTTGGGAGGAAGTGTCCATCTGCCTGGGGGTAGGAAGGCCCTTCAGAGGGATCTGGACAGGCTCATCAACAGGCTAAAGCCAACTGCTTGAGCTTTAACAACACCAAGTGCAAAGTCCTTCACTTCAGTTATAAAAGCTCTATGCAGTCCTATATGTTTGAAGCAGCCAGCAGTGTGCCCAGGTGGCCATGAAATCCTCCCTGAAAGGAGGTAGTAGCAAGGCAGGAGTCGGCCGTTTTCCCAGGTAACTGCTTTTAGGATAAGAAGTAAATGGCCTTCAGCTGTGCCTGGGGAGGTTCAGCTTGATTATCAGGAAAAATTTCTTCTCAGAAAGAGTGGTAAGGTATTGGAACACAGTGTCCACAGAGGTGGTAGAATCAGTGTCCTTGGAGGTTTTCAAGAGTCATGCAGATGTGGCACTTCTGGACACTGTTTAGAGCTGTCACAGGCATAGGTTGATTGCTGGACTCAATGATCTTAATGGCCTTTCCAATCTTAATGGTTTTATGTATAGGCTCTATTACTGTAAAGTTAAAAATCCTGCTTTGACTTCACTTTCTGTGATGACTACATGTTTTGCTTTGGAATTACAGGAGAGGTTGTTTGGAATAAGTTCTTGAGGAGTGTAACTTTAGGTTTAAATATGAATTGCCAATTCATTTTGTTTCAAGTTATAGATTTACAAAAAGAACTCCTACTGCATTGTCTTGCTACATGAAGAAAAATACAGAACGCTGCTTATCTCAATACTGGCTAATATGGATCTTTAATATTAAAATTTAATATTAGAAACTGAAAACTCTTACCTGTTTGGTCCTTTTCCTTCTCATTTTTTTTGTTTGTTCCTTTCTTCCACTGCTCCTTGGTTTTATTGGCTTCCTCATGCTGCTTCTGCTCTGCAAGTGATTTATTTAGTACTTGAGAGAGAACAGAATCTCCTTCTCCTACCAGAAACATGGTCTTGAACTTGTTATACAGCATTGTAGATTTCTCCATGATAACTTGGCTAACTTTGAACTTCCGTATCTGTAATCAAAGCGATAAAAGAAGTAGCTTCACTTAAGTACTTAAATACTTGTGTAAAATTCACCAAATGCTAGACAAAATTCCCATTTTACCTTGAAAGGAGAACAGACTTCTATACTCTCTGAGAGGAGTATGCAACACATGAATTTAAAATACTATTTACTTAAGTAATACTGCAGATCTTACCTTCTTGAGTGTCAGAATCATCTCTGTATGTTTCTGAGCCTGCTGCATTGAGACTTGAAGAGATGCCAATTCATCAAGAGCCTCAATACACCTGTTCACATCCTGCAGATAAATACGTTAGTCTGACGACTTCACTCAAGTGTCAGTAATGCTTCATAAGCTATACTGAATTCACTTCCATATTAAATAATTTCTTACAAAATCCTTAATTTTACTTTTTAATTCTGTAACAATCTCTACCATCAAGCTTGCAAACACAAAAAGTTGAAATGCAAGTAGTAGTATTTGTATACCAAAAGCATGTCATTTGAATAACTTAAACTAACAAAAAAACCAACTTCATACTTCCAATATACAAACTCTCTGGTCCTTTTATAATTCTAGTACTAGATTACCTAAAGCTGTTCTCCAAATATTCAGCCTTTCTCATTCACAGTTTTTCACAAGTGACCTGCCACTAAGAAAGAAAACAAACAGAGTGGACTGCTTCTGACAGACAGAACTGTATCTTCATAGATTATTCAGTCAAAAGCTTGATGAATTACACTACATAGGGCAGTTAGAAATATTCAAGTTTTCTTCCAGTCCCCAGAAACTTCCCCCTAAACAGGAATTTTCAAAGGCTAACTGGAGTGGATGCACAGTGACGTGCAGCATCCCCAGCATTCTTGGGTTTACTCCACATCAAATCCCACTTGATTTCCTTTTCATGATTTCTTCTCATTTGTTTTTTCCCAATAGATTCCCTAGCCCACTCAGCAGCAATCCTACACTGTACAGACTACTTTTTGCTGGTGATATATATGATGAAGCTTGTGTTTCACTCCAGATTCTATTCCAGGTGGATTTGGGCTTTCCTTTTAAAAGCCCAGCCACCTACGCTTTGACAGTGTCATATTCCTCCCCAGTTACTCGTTCCTGCTTTCACTTCCTGTATGCTTGCTTTTTGTGTCTGATTTTAGTCAGCAGCAACCTTTTCATCCATGCCGCTTTCCTGCCCCATTTATTCATGTTCTTGCTCAGCAAGATGGACCAATCTGAAGGAGGCCAATTCCTGCGAATCAGTCAGATCTCTTGTTCCCCTTTTCTCTCCTGGAAGAGCTCCCAAGGGATTCTTCCAAGCAGGTCCCTTCATAGACCAAAGTCTGCTCTCGAGTCCACAGTTTTGATCCTTTTTGTCAGGCTCCCTTTTCCCAGGATCCTGAACTCCACCACTACTATTCAAGATAGCCCTCAATCTTTGTGCCTGATTAGTTCCTTCACTAGGAACCAGGTCCACAAAGGTGTCTTCTCTTGTGAACTCACTGATCCTATGTCAGGTAATTCTCACACTCCAGAAACTTATTGGATGGTTATGTAAACAATGTGTTGAGCTCCATTATATGTCAGGGTGGTCTTACAAGCACCAGAAACTTTGAACCTAAGGTATCCTTCACCTACCTCAAGAATCCACTCTGTGCTTCCTCATCTGGTGATCTGCAGCAGATTCTTTGACACTATCATCCTCATTCAGATATCCAACTATAGATCTTGACTATAATTTCTTAGCTGTCTTATCAGTCTCAGTGCAGAGATCCCAAGTACTCCTACTAGTTTCTCCCCGATATTTCCTGTCTTGTCTCCCTGGCACCTGTCCTTCCACAAAAGCCTCTGTCCACCCATATGAACATTCCAGTCCCACTAACTATTCCAGCAAATTTCTGTGATCCCAACAACATCAGAGACCAACAACTGCAGACATCTAATTCTTAATTCCTCCGTGCATATGCATTAGCCTGCATGCACTTCAGAGAGGCATCCAGTTGTGCTAACCCTACCAAAAAATGTAAAGCCTTCTTCACAATGTGTTGTTGACACTCCCTCATTTCTATTCACTTACTTGTAAATCAGCAAAACAGTGCTAAAATGACATCACTACAAGGTCAGTTCTGTCCGCATCACCCTCCATTATATATTCCCATCCTGTTACATCATTTCTTCACTTTTTCTTTCACTGCTGTTTATGGTTTTAATTTCTTTAACCAGCCCAGGTAGCCTTTTGGCAGTGGTAACTTTCCCATTATTCAGGTAGATCCTCTTGACTCTTGCAGTCCTTGACCTTCATATAGTTCCCATCATCAGAGCAACCAAATCCTGTTGCTTACATCAACTCCAGAACTAAGTGCTAATCCACAGAATCAATCCATTCCTTCACAAGCCCTTTCCCCTCATTAGGAGGATAGAGACTACCACCTGGGTCCCCCGTGTCTCAAAGCCACACAGACATGCCTGACCCTTGTAAATCTCCCTTGGCTGTAACACTGGTGCCCAACATGGAAAAACAGCAGCTGCTAATGAATAGCTTGAGAGTCAGACAAGCCTCAGCCATCTGTCAGTACTGTTCCAAATCTAGAGCTCCCAAGCAGCAGCAAACAACAAGCAAGAAAAGCAGATAACGATACCACCCCTTACACCAAGCAGTCTGCCAACTACCACGCTCACTGCTTCCTGGTGCTCCTGCACAGCTCAGGCTGAGCTAGCACAGACAGCTCACTTGTCAGAACTCTAAATTTTTCTGGCAGATAACTTATGATTAAGTATTTTTAAACAAAACTGATTTTACTTACTGGCTCTATATATCTTAGGATCTATAGCAGCCCCATCTAAAGAGCACAGTTCTCTTTCAAAGTGAAAAAAAATCCTTTAATTCTCAGAATAGTAATTAAAAATAAACATGTATGCCAATTAATTGGAATTTTATGTGTAAGTTAAAAGATGCATATACTTACAAGATTATCAATTTTCAGGGAGTTTTTAATCTCTGCATGTATCCTCTGAAGCCTAGAATCCATTGATGTTTCTGAAGATTAAAAACAGTATGCATGAATATTTGATAATCTCATCAAGTTTGTGTTTGTAGAAACCTTAATACAAATCCAAATATCACAGAGAAGGAGGAAAAATGGACAAGCAGCCTACTTCAGACGACCATGCACACATAACCCTTGTGATGTATTTATTTACAGATGTGATTTTTTTTCTTTTTTTAATTGGACACAAGTAGCAACCCATATAGTTTTCACCTTAGAAGTTATAAGTTGAAAATAATTTTCAATTTCACTTTTGGGATATCATCCTCTGTCAAATTAAAAGTAAGTTTCAGTAAATATTAACAATTACTAATTGTGAGAACTATCTGGATATTACTGCATTTGTTTTTTGCAAGTTGGACATATTTGAAAACGCAAATAAAGTGGCCTGTAGCTGCTTGACAGGTTGAAAGGAGAAGCGTTCATGTCCAATTTTGTGTACTGAATGCTTTTTTTTTTCTTGTTTCTTTTAACCCATATGTAGTGGTACATGCTTCGAAGTACACTGCAGGCAATCAGAATTTAAATCCAGCCAATCTTGGATGAGTTTGGATAACTATTTTCCCCCCTCTGCCAAAAGTAGAACTGCTTGCAGCCCATGCAAGGACTGCCCAGGAAGTAATGCCTCCTATTTCATTATGTTGGCCTACAGTGCCAGAGGTGGACGTTGGTGGTGTATGGCAGTTGAGGCTGAATGTTCCCAACACTATTTTCTTACACGTTGTTGCTGTGTGGCAGATGGCTCAAAAGGGGCAGTCTGACAAAGCGGTGTCTGACTCGAAAGTCTGGAGAAAGCAAAGATGTGTCACCAAGTTCCTCCATGGGAAAAAATGGCACCCACTGACATTCACTGATGCTTGCTGAACATTTTCAGAGACAAATAGTGGATGTGAGTACAGTGGGATGGCGGCAGTGGTGTGTTTCAGCAGTGTTGAGAACAACGTGAAAGACAATCCACATTCCATGTGGCCACACAGACTATTGTTCATCACCAGTAAAAATGCATAGCTGACAATGATGACCGTGTTGAAAATTAGTGTATTTTGCTGGTACTTTGCTCTGTTCAAATAGTGTTTCTTGTTCTTTCTCTATGGAAATAAATAGGAGGCATTACTTTTGGAGTAACATACATATAGTACAAGCTGCAGCTAGTCGTTTGAATTGCTCTTAAAAAAGGAGTACTAAAAAAGGAATGTCTTATCCTGATGAAGGTCAGTTTGCAACTGTGGGTTAGTAGGCAAAACCACAGTAATCTGAATCTAAGCCTCTTGCTTAGGAAAAAAAAGCCTCTTGCTTAGCAAGCCTCTTGCTCAGTAAAAGGTAATATCTAAATACTCAAAGAGGTCCTAGTTATCGTGTTATAGCAAAAATGGAAATTATTCAACTCAAGAAATTAGAAGTTCTTGTTCACCAACAGAAGAAATCATCTGAAAAAATATTTAAAATATTGAATAATAGCACAAGAATAGCAGAGAACTATTCTAATGCACTTAGAAAACAACACAGAAGAACAAGAATGCATTGTCATACAGATCTGAAGGAGAAAGTCATAGATCAAACAATTTGGACTGAGACTCCAACTTCACCCTTAGCAGTAATTATCTCATCCAGGCAGTCAGTTCTCAGTGTTCAGGATGACCCACAATATTCTGTTTAGCTTCTTTAAACTAACCTCTCTTCTTCTCCATCTTCTTAACTTCTGTTTTCTTGCCTTCTTCTTTACTCTGCCTATCAAAAATGTTAAAGTGTTTTTACAATACTGTAAAAGTCTGCTCTTTAGTCTCTTTTCTCTCCACATTTTAGATGAGCTGCTATGTTCTACAGAGATAGTAACTCAAAACATTAGCATGCAAAAAACATGAGCTAAACCCTACTTTTCAAAACCAAAATAAATGATTTCTTTTTCACTTTGACATTATATTGCTGTTAAATCTCAGTGTTCCCCAAAAGTAGAAAATTAAAAGTTTAGAGAAACAACTAACATTTGTAAACTGTACTGTTTTGGCTGCATGTAAAAAGTTGGGGAAGTGGCACAGAAACAAAGCTTATTTATAGAGGGGAAAAAATACCTAATATGAAAAAAAAAAAAAAAAAAAAAGAATTACACTACTGTTTAACATTACTATTGGGAAAGATTACAATTAATTTACTTTTAAAATTATTATAATTGGTTCAAATGTGATTTTTTTTTTTTAGTGCAGTTATTACAGTGCATGTATCCTAAAACTGAACTTCAATGTATCATTGATAATTTAAGTCTCCTTGACAGAAATATTCCTGGCTCTTTCTAATTACCTCACCAAAACCAAACTTTTTGTAAGTCCCAGCTAATCTGCATCTCAAAAAGAAGAGGAAACAGGCAAAAGTCTTTCAAGCTAGCTGTGTAACTTTTTATTTATTCATAGAAGAGTATTAACCCTGTTTCAATTTACAATTTCCCAGTCTTGTCTTACTGACAGGTTTAAAAGCCTCACTTTATAATCTGTGTATTTCAATATGCCATGAATAAATATCAGCATGCATCTATAAAATTCTTCAAATCTACATCTTCTGTTTCCTTTCCATACTCCATCAAGTTACAGACAGCCATTACTTCAACTGGTAGCACAGACAATGCTTTTTGTTCAAAGCACTGTTATTACTTACATAAATAGTAATCCAGCAGTTATAACAGACATGAGAAGAAGTAGACTAAAACAGATGGGAAAGACAACCAAAGAAGGATAGGACTATATTCTGAATATTAACAGAAAAGCTTAAAACAGCACAAAAAAGAAGTGCTTCTACTTTTAATCAGTATTGAGACTTGTGCTTTTAGATACCAGCTACAATTCATTAGGCATTCATTAAAATTAACTACTACTCCCATTTCTCTTAAACTAAGCTGTAAGTATCCCCTAGAACATAAAATACAAAAGCTGTTTAAAATTAGAGACTTGATTACTGTAACCAAACCAATACATGACAGTTGACTGCAGAAATCAGTTTATGCCAGATTTAAGCAGTGATGTATTAAGAATTGCTGAGAACAATTTACTATCTCTGGAGTTGGAAATACTTATTTTACCAGCCCATAGGAAACCTAACTGTTTTTCATAGGAGCGACAGGAAGAGGAGGAAAAGAAAGGGCAGGAGGATCAAAAACTCTAAACCAGAATCTTGTTGATGTACGTCAGAAAAAGTAGAACTGCACAGCTATGAACAAAGCAGACCATTATCCTCTTCCTGCTTCTCAGAGTTTTTACCTTGTTCTCCTTTTCTTCTGCACTCCCACCAACTGTGGGAATGGGAACATCATGCTTCTGAAGTGATGGCTTCTTCACCCATTTGAGGACAGGTCTTGAGAATGAAGTGAATTTCCTTCTATTGCCCTGCCCCCTCCCCTCCAGTTCATGGAAGGATCTTCTCTTCACTCTTAGGCTTGATTCATTTATGATAATTTATCTTCTGATTGCAGAGTACTCTTAGTCAACTGGCTTTGCAGTGCCAGAGCAGAATAATAATTTTTTTTTTCTGTTTTGTCTGATAGTGTGTGCTCCAGCTGCTAGAGAAGGAAATGTTTTCCAGGAATCCCTACACATTCCACAATGTGATTAAAAAAAAAAAATCCATAAACACGGATTAACAGATCCTATCACTCTTAATCAAATGTCTTAAAGACAAATATTCAGAGCAGCTATTTTACTTCCCTTTTCACATGTATAGTCTAAATAGAACACAAGAGCTGTCATCTCATGGAAGCTCTAACTGACTGAAAAATGAACATCACTTTATTTCTAGGTTCAATTCTTCCCATTTGCCCAGACTTGTATACACTGATTTAGAAGGGCTTATCACTTTGTCCACTGGAAGTTAAAACTGACCAAAAAACAGGCAGATGGAAAAAACAAAATACAGTACAAACCAGCATGGTTTTTTTGTTGTGTTTTTTTTTTTTTTTTTTTTTTTTTTTTTTTTTTTTTTTTTAAACAGGTATCTCTTTTTCTTCCTAGTTTCAAAGTACTCACACAAGCTTAAGACATCCTTTCAAAAATACTCACAGTTCACTTTCTCCCTGTTCCTCTTGCTTACGTTTTCTCTCTGTCCCCTCTTTCTCATGCTGGCCTCTCATGATGTTTCTTCTGTGAGTTGACTGCAAGCTTCTTCCCCCTTTTTTCTTCTGGTTTTTTTTTTTTTTTTTTTGTGTGTGTTTTTGGGATTGGAAAGAGAAAAGAGGTGTTTAGATTACCGAAAAGAAAGACTACTAAATCCTTATCTCAGGAGTCATATAAACCTGCCTACACACAGAGAGAGAATTAGTCTACAGCAACTGTTCAAGGAACAGCCTGACAAGAACTGGCTTTCTATGCAACTAAGTACGAGGCCTTCTAATACTGTTATCTCTGGATTATCTCCTTCCTCCCTCCTTCCTTCTCCAGTAAGAAGAAATTATCCTGAATACCACGGAAGCAAAGAAATTGAGATGACTAGGATGATGTCAAGACTTTCAAAAACTTATTTCAAGCCAAGTATTCTCTTAGATGCACCCCAAAAAAAAACAAAAACCAAACATCTGCACTACAAAAAGAAAAATTAAATCAATCTTCAAGTGTCTTAGAAAAGATTTTATTAAAAAAAATACTGAAGAAGTTCCTGAAGAAAATATCTGACAAAAAAGTTTTACAGTTTTTGTTTTGCATCTTTATATCAGCCAACCACAAGGTTCCAACTTTCATAAAGGTCCTGCATTAACATCAAGAACCATCTTTAGTGATACAACTTTTTTTAATAATAAATGGATCTGAAAAGCCAAATTATACCTTATCACCTTCTTCTTCTCCCCCCTCATCTTCAGAATCAGAAGCTGACGCAGAACCCAGTTTTGCAGTATTTTTCCTTTTTGGTTCAGCCTCTTTCTTCCCATCTTTTTTATCATATTCCTTCTTTGGTTTTTCCTCTTCCTTCTGACCTTCCTCATCCTTCTTTACTTGTTTTTTAGGCTTCTCATCTGGTCCTTTTTTCTTTGCTTTCTCCTCCTCATTAACACTGACACATGAACAGTATTTAGATATCAACTATCAACAGTGAGTTTAAAAACAATCACATTGTCTTAATTCAGGAAGGTGTTTTTCTTCTATTTTAACTACAGAATATTTAAGTTAATTCACTCAGTTCATTTAATGACTTTCCAGAAAACACTCAAGCCTTTTTCTAAAATTAGTCCATTACCTGCACAAAACAAAAGAATAAAGTATTAATAATATAGAGGTCTTAATGAAGCAGAAAATGCGTACATAGACCCAAAATTCAGAAGCCAATGGTCAGAAGTTCTCTACACGCATATGCCTGCAGGAGCAAGGAATACTTCAGACTAGAAACACTTCAATATTTTAAGTTGTACTTAAGTGTACGTAGCCTGAAATACTACATTTGCTCACCTACTGAAAATTATGCTAATGCTGAACTTTTCCTTCAGTTATGAGAATCATTAGGGGCTCCGTGCAAGAAAAAACGAAGGTAAAAAAAGAAATGTAAGCAGCAGACAGTGCTGAAATTCACTGTACTGTCAGAAGAGAAGTTTGAATTTACAAAGTAAGAATTATGAAGTCTTAGCAAGGAACAATGTTGTTAATAGTTAAGAAGCTTTCTATAGAAACAAATAAACTACTCACAGGTCACTTTCAGAAAGACAAGGTGGCTTCACCAACTTGGGTCTCCCTCTTGGTTTTGGAACTTTTACTTCAGAAGCTAGTATAAGGAAAATGATTTGTTAGTCCACAGCCACTATCTATTCCTTGTCTACGAGGAAAGATTCTTAGTCAGAAGCTACTCTTAGAATATTGATATTTTACAAATTTCAAAGGATCCAGACAGTTATTACATGAATTGCAAGAGTACCAGGCTTTAACCAAAAATCTCAGAAAACTTAGTTATTCCATACATTACTGATTTTTCAACGACAGGTTCAAACTACTAATTCTTCTGTTTTCTGTGTGGTGTGTTTAGGACCTGTATTAGTTACACAACATGAAACAAATAAACTGAAGGAGGAAGACCAGCAGTAAGCTGAAAGCAGTCACTTCCTGTCCACATTTACATGCCATCTGTTTACCATCAATAATTTTAGGTACATCCCAGAGTTTCTCTGAATTTTCTTGCTAGCAAACTACTTTCAAGATGTTCTAACACCGTGCCTAAGTATACAGGAAAACTGCGGTTCACCACATTTTTATAGCAAGACAAACAGTCTGCCTTCTTGGCACTTACACCCTTCGAATTCTGTCAAACAAAAATACTTGGTGCACTGCTTTTAATTTGCTGAAGTTGTCTGTCTGATCATACTAAGCACGTCGTTAGGAAATGTTAGTGTTTAAATTCCTGCTGGTGTCAGTATTGAGGACTCTTAAGCAAGAGCTGCGTGCACCATATCAACATCAGAAAATGCTTCCTAGTACATCTTGGGATAAGGTATTTTATACAAGTGTCAAAAGCATCTCTTAAAGACTCCTGCTCTAAGACAGTAGGTATTAGAAACAATATGTTATAAGACAAAAACAAATGCAAATATTTGAAAAGTACATTTAGTAATATAATGAAATTATGGACTAGAGCGACACTTAATTTCTTCATAGCTTCCAAGATAAATGCAATTAAGTTGGTTTAACTGTGGTTGCACTTCCTGTAAGCTATTTTTATGCTTTCAGTAGATACAGATGAATATAAACTATTGTTTGTTTCCCAGACTAGACACTCAGGCAATGTATTGCTACAAAGACAGTATTATAATCAGTTCAAGAATATCTGTAGTATCTACACAAGCTCAGCACAGAAATTCCAATAAATCAGATCATTGCTACTTTGAAAGAAAAAAATAAAACAAACCAAAACAAGAAAAGCAGAATTTTAAGTAAATGTTTCAAATTATACAGTTTAAAATAAAGTAGTTGAATTTTCATTTCCTTTTTCTGTTAATCTACACATATTGATTTACGTATTTAATTAAACAAGTCTCTCCTGCTCTTTGCTTGCTTTTATTATTCTCTCAGCTCCACCTACAGGCACAATCTTCCCTCAGTTCCCTTACTCATGCTTTAAGGATGTTCTAACAAAAATTTTAGTATTTCTACAAGTACAGAAAACTTCATAAGTCAATAATGCACAGAGGAACCTTACTGCAGTCTATTTTTTATGAGTGTTCTATGAAGAGTATCTTCCTGAAGGTAACTCTCCTACCCCAAAACAGCAAGCCTTATTCAGAGTACTAATGCTCACAGTTTAAATCCATTTATACCCTAAATTCTAAGTTTGAGATATATTTTCTCTTTACAACTGATTGTATCTATACTCTGTAGTAGTTTATAGGAAAGATACAGTAAACCCTCATTAATTATATTAAGGTATTTCAGCAGGACAAAATATTATTCTTTTATAGTTACCTGCTGGTCTTCCTCTTTTTGGGCTTACTTTTGGAGACACAGTCACTGGAGTTGCTGCTGCTGCTGATACCACTGCTGCTGTTGCCACTACTGCTGTTTCCTCAGCTTCACCTTGTTTTTCAGCCTAATTTAAAGAATATATTTCGCAAATGAAATGCATGAAATGAATCAAAGCACCAACTTCTCAACTACTTTCTCAGACAACAGTTTTTAAACGCATTCATTATTACTCTATTATTTCTAAATAAAAAAATACTAATTTTGTAGTAGATTATACTTAAGAATCATTTGCTTCATGTTCTCCATTCTATGTCATATCCTACTATGACTACATACAGTAATGTTTCAGATAGCCTGAACCAGCCTATTTATCTTCAGAAAATGAAGAAAAAAACCCGAAACCTCAGTTCAAAAAATATAATAATAATGAGTCCTTTAAATTAGTAATGACTGCCAAAACCCAGTTTTCCAGTTCTAAGGATGTAAATTCATTTTGCCCTATACACAAATATTACTCTTTTAAATGGTATAATCTCTCAGATATGTCACAACATCATGGAAGCAGATGAAGCTTCTCAACTACCCGCTTTGTAGCTAATTATTTGCAACAGAAAAAAATCATAAGCTAAATCGAACTAACCATAAATTATGAACTTTATCAATACAGTCATCTTAGAGGGGCTTCGTTGTAAAAAGTGGGGAGGGAGGGAACTTATCACAAAAGAACATCTTAAGGAATGCATAGGCATTTCCTTCAGAAGCATTTTATTAGGCAGAGAGAAAGAATCTTAATAAAAACTAACAGGAGAAAATACTCTCAGGAGTTTAGTGTCCTGGATACAGGTACATCAAAGCAGCAACAGAAAAAGTAGCAGCAAATACAGTTTATATTCTTCCTGGATGTAGTCATAATTGGAGATATTTTTAAAGAACAAACTTAAATCATGACTAAAGTACATCATAACTGTGTTTATTTCACATAGTTTAAGAAAGAAAAATAACTATTAAGATTAAAAAAAAAAAAAAAAACACAAAACAAAACAGTTTCAAGACAAGAAAACACCACGTTCCTTTCAAGGAAGATAAAGTACACATTCAAGGCTGTATAAACATACAGCCGATGTTCTTTTCTAACCACAAGCCTACACCACATTCCTTGAAATATTACATTTTTTTGTTTAAGCTCCAAAGCAATGCATCTCAACAAAGAGGAATTTAGGCAAAAATGCAAGGAGATTCACATGAATGAACAAGGATCTCCTGGCCAAAGTCAACACAAATAGATAGAAGATAGAAACAAGGACAGCTAGCCTGAGAGGAACAGAGACATTATCAGAAGAGCCAGGGATCAAGTTAAGAAAGCTGAAGCCCAGACAGAATCTAATCTTACCAAAGATATGAAGAGGGGAACAGAAAGGGTTTCTTAAAGAATGTCAATGACAAAAGAAAGACTGGGGAAGATGTAGGTTCTCTGCGTATTTTGTTAACTACAGAAAAAGAGACTGGGGTTACTGGGGAAAATGTTAAGGCCAAGATACCAACTGAATCCCTTTTTTGCCTCAACCTTCACAAGCAAGATTAGCCTTTAGGGATCCAAGGTCCCAGAGACCAAACTGAGACCAGAGCAAGAAAGACAGATACTTTGTGGATGAGGATCTAGTTTGAAAACACTTGAGCAAACCAGACACTTGCAAATGCAATGGTATTCAAGCTTGTACTGAGGGAGCCAGTAGATGCAACTGCAAAGCCACTCTTCTGTAAGTTTTGCTCAACTGTGGCAACTGAGGAAAGCAAATATTGCTTTTACCTTCAAAAAAGAGCAAGAAGGAGGTCCCAGGCTGGTCAGTCTCAGCATCTTCCCTGGGAAAGTGACTGAAAAGCTCAACCCAGGAAATTATTTCCAGATTCACAAAAGAGAAGCAAATCATTAGTAGCTAACAAGGACTATGGGAGGTCAGGTCAGACCAACTCAGTAAGCTTCTATGGCATCACTAGCTTGATGGGAAAGAAAAGAACAGTGGATATAGTCTTCCTTCCTACAATTCTGTAAGGACTCTGACTATGCACAGCATAAAAGAAACAGTCAAAGCACACGTTGGATGAGCAGATAGCGATGTGGATTTCTGAAAACTGAATGATTAGGCCTAGAGGGTAGCAGTCAGCAGTGCAAAGATTCACCACTGGCCTGTAATTATCACAACATACCTTCAGTAAAGAGACCAGAAGACCCCTCCTGTGAGAAGAGGCCAAGAGTTGGGACTGTTTGCCTGGAGAACAAAAGGCTCAAAGGTCATTTTATCAACACCTATCAACACCTGAAGGGAAGGTGCTAAGAGGACAGAAACTCTTTGTCCAGACTGAGAAAGAAGCAACAGGCACAAAAAGGAACACAGAAGGTTTTGTCACAAGAAGCACTTCTGTGCCATGCAGGTAACAAAGCACTGGCACAGGCTGCTAGAGAGGCCACAGGGTCTCCTCCTTAGAGATCTTCAAGAGCTGCCTGCACATGATCTTCTGCAGTCTGCTCTGGTGTCCCTGCTCAAGGAGAGCTGATGGCCCAAGTGGAAAAACAAACCCCTTTCAACCTTAACCACTCTGACCCAGCAATGTCCAGCAGTACACAAATTTTTGGTTCGTGCGCCTACCACATACAGCACGCACTAAACACATCTGTCAACTCAAGCTGCCAAGCATTACAGAAGAAGCCACCTTGGGTCTGAAATGCATTATGACATAAACAAAAATCAGCTGCGTTAAACAAAACTAAAAAACACTACAGCCATGATTTGAGTGCATTATGAGAACTAAAGCACAAGATCTGTTCTAGTGTCATCTGAGGCTTCTCTCCCATTTACAAGTATCAGGTATATGTACACTGACACGTATTTTCAACTCCCTGCTCTTCAGACTAGACATTTTCTTGCATATTATTTCATATTTATTTTTGTAGTTTTTTTTCAAATAAGGTGTTCTTTAAAACTTCAAAATTTATATAAATGTAAGTTGCTTTTGTAGGAATACACAAATGTGCATCTTGCATGAAGGAGATGATAGTATACTATTCATCTGTGGCAAGCACACCAGGCCACAGGTGAATTTCTGCACTCATCCCTGCTGTCGGCATTAATGAATCAACTTAAAAAGAAGTAGTTTCAAATTAAAATTACACTTTGCTCCATTTTAATCTAGATTTCACTTGGACAGTGCTCCAATCTAGCTTTCTGTACATACACATTAACATCAATGGTGGAAAACAGTAAGATAACAGTTGGAACTGCTTCTTTCATACTAAACTCTGTTTCTTCCCAGAAGAGACCACAAACATACAATCTTAGGAAAGAATAGAAGTATTTCAGGTGCTGGTTCAGTATGAAGGCTCTTAATTTGTCTGTTTTTCCTTTTTCCTTCAGAGCTTCAAAGCAAGTTATTTTATTTCAATTACTGTCACTTACACTATATGCCTATGTGTGGAAAAAAGAAAACTCCTTACCCTACATGGAGCTCAAACAAAAATGTGAAATGTCCTCTTGGGAGAATGATCATTCCTAAAAAACTTTCAACCATATTTGGAAGGAATGCATAATTTGCCACCAAAGAAAATGATAACTGTTAGCACCCCACTCAAAAATTTCAAGAAGGTGAAATATTTAAGTATACTGCTACCTTTCTTTTTCTTCCTCTTCTAGCAACTTTGGGAATAGAAGCATCATCTGTTTTCACCACACCCTGTGAAAAATTAAAAATGGTGCTAAGAGTTTAGGAAAAGAACATATCTGATATGTTTATAAGTTTTGGGGATCTTTTCCACAAACAAAACCATGTTTCTAGTTTGTTTTATTCCTTCCCACAACTGAATTGGGAATATATAATTCACAAAAATTATCATAAAGACATTTCCTGCTTTTGAATATCATTATATGGTAACCAAGATTTCCTACTGAAAGGTAAGAAATAAGATAGGCTACAACATTACTACATACCTTTATTTAAATCATCATTTAGCAACTGATCTCCTTACCTAATCTTTTTAAAAAAAGTTGCACTTGCTACACAGAGTGATGAAAACACTGTTCCACCAATTTTTAAACTGAATAAACTTTAATCTGGTTTGTCTACCTGATGAAAGTTTCTATTCCTGCTTATTTCAATGAGAGCAAACACATAGTAAGTTCTACATACCAAACCGAGACTGTCACACTAACAGTAGCTGTGGCTTCCCTGTGCATAAAATTTCTCTATTAACTGATGTAATATTAAAATATGCTCTGGTACACAGTAAAAGCTTTCACATACTTCCTTGCTGGTTTTTTCAGAAGGTACATCATCTTCCTTTGTAGTAGGCATCTCCTTTTCTTCTGCTTCAGCTTCTGCAGGTAAGTTGTTATCCTCTTTGGGAGATAACTGCAAACAGAATAATACAGAGTCAAAAACATATGAAAAAGAAAGAAAATGTTAAATGAGAACATACCAATAATCATCATGCTGTTTTTCACTCTCAGTCTATATACATGCCTTCTTACATACACACTGAAACTAATGGCAGGACCATTTTCATATATTGCAAACCACTTTGTCTTCAAGTCCTCTTTGTGTTTGCGGTAACATAACTGCGCTACTTCACTGTATTACTACTGAAAGAGCATTTCTAACTGTTCACAACATTCAAGTGAATTCCAGACATGAATAACTCAGTCATAATGGTGTTTCTTAATAAAATAAATTCAAGATTCACTTAGATCAGCCTATCTGCACACACAAACATGGAAGAATCACAGACCAGCTTGAACGAAGTCCAAACTCTACAAAACGATGACTTCATGTAGTAAATAGACCACATGCAAGGTATTTATCTTATTTCAGACAATTATTAGTGATAAAGTCATCTAACCCATGCCCTTCACTTTGTTTCCTCTGTTTTCTTACTTAAAATGAAAACTAGTATTTTAAGATGAGAAGTTAGGTTTGAATACAAAGTTTCTAGTCATTCCCTTGTAAATATCAACACCTCCTTGCAGCCTACACTTCTGGTGTTTTTTCTCCTAACTTCACTTCATTTTCTTGACTTGCCCCATCTGTTGCAAAATTTACTTTAATAACAGCAATAGCTCCTAAAACTTCAAAATTGAACAGAGCAGCTCAGGCAGTAGGCTGTCATGCAATACTGATGATTACTTAAAAACATGTAGTATCACTCAGGACTGTTCTGTTTTAGGTTGCTTATTCTTTTTTAGGTTACTACTCACTGAAACAGTAAGAAATCAAGGTTCGATGACTAAAAACAAGATATAGTTACATTAATATCAACAGGAAAAGAGTAAGTCTGCTCATATTTTGCCTTAAGTTGATAAAAACTGATTACATGAATCCATCCCATCAGGACTTTTCAAAGGGCTGAATCTGGTTTTTCTGTGTCAAAGTATCTGCTCAGAACAGACAGGAAGCTCTTTCTCAGCAAGAGCATGATGCATAAAGCCACTGCCATCCCCAGTAGCACAAGCTACTTGCTGAATACATCAACACTGATGCAAAGTGATGAATCTATTCAGAACAAGAAAAAGTTTAAGCTTTCTTCTTTGCAGTAGCAAACATTGGGTAACAAATGCTTTTACCAGCAGTGTGCATTCACAGGAAAGAAAAGTTGGCTTACTAATATTAGCATGAAATCACATACAGGAAAGTGTTTCTAAAGTGTAGTTACAAGAAATAAATCAAACAATTCTTCAAAATTCGCTAGTATTAAATTGCCTCAGTCTTCAGCAGCAAGGGCTCTAGTCACACTACCACGTTGCAGAAAGCAATAGCAAGGACCTGGAGAAGGAAGATCTGACTGCTGTAAGTGAAAATCATGTTTGAGAACATCTGAAGAACTTGTGCTGCACAAGTCCATGGGGCCCAACAAGATCCATTCGCGGGTTCTGAGGGAACGGATGAAGTTGCCAAGCTGCTCATGTTTGAATTGTCATGGCAATCTAGTGAAGTTCCCACTGACTGGAAAAGGGGAAACATAATCCTCCTTTTCAAGAGAAAAAAAGAAGATCCAAGGAACCACATACACATCAGTCTCACTTCTGTGTCTGGCAACATCATTGAGCAGATTCTCCTAGAGACCCTACCACAGCATGTGGAAAAGAAAGATGAGGTGACTGGTAATAACCAACACGGCCTGCACCAAGAGTATGTGGTGCCTCATAAAGCTGGAGGCCTTTAAAGATGGAGCTGCAATTCCAGGGGATAAAGGAAGAGCAAGTGACGCCATTTGCATGCTCTTGTGCAAAGCATTTGACACTATCCTGCGTGACATCCTGGTCATCAAACTGGGGAAAAAAAAAATGATCTAATGGACGGATTACTGACCGGATAAAGAACTGGCTGGACGGTTGCACTCAAGAGTTGCAGTCAACAGCTCAATGTCCAAGCGGAGACCAGTGATGATTGGTGCTATTTAACATCTTTGTAGGTGACATGGATAGTAGGATTGTGTGCACCCTCAGTGAGTTTGCAGCTAACATCAAGCAGAGTAGTGCAGATGACATGCTACAGGGAAAGGATGCTTTCCAGAGGGATTTGAACAGGCTTGAGAGGTGGGCCATGCCAACCACCCTCATGAAATTCAACAAGGCCAAGTGTAAGGTCCTGCACTTGGGTCAGGGCAACCCCAAGGAGATACACGTCGGGTAGAGAATGGCTTAAGAGTAGTCCTGAATAGAAGAATTAGGGGTGTCAGCTGACAACTCAACATGAGCCAGCAATGTGCACTCGCAGCCCAAAAGGCTAACCTTATCCTCAGCTGCATCAAGAGAAGGACAACCACCACATTTAGGGAGGTGATTCCGCCCCTCCATTCTGCTTTCATGAAATCCTACCCAGATTAGCAAATCCAGTTCTGGAGCACCCAGCACAAGGACATGGAGTTGCTGGAGAAGGTCCAGAGGAGAGCCACAAAGACTATCAGAAGGCTGGAGCACTTCCCATATGAGGACAGGCTGAGAGAGCTGGAGCTCTTCAGCCTGGAGAAGAGAAGGCTCTGAGAAGACATTCCACAACCTGAAGGGGGCCTATAAGAAAGCTGGGGAGGCACTTTTTGTAAGGGCACGTAGTGACAGCATGAGGGGAGGTGGTTTAAAAATGGAAGAGGGTAGATTTAGACTAGATATTAGGAAGCAATTCTTTGCCGTAAGGGTGGTGAGACTGGAACAGGTTGCCCACAGAGTCTGTGGATACTCCCCCACTGGAAGCATTCAAGGCCAGGCTGGACAGCGCTCTGAGCAACTCGTTCAAGCAGGAAGTGTCCCTGCCTGTAGCAGGAGGAACTAGATGATCTTAAAAGTCTCTTTTAGCACAAACCATTCCATGAAACTAAGAACTCTCAAAGCAACAAGAAGTTGGTAGAAACAACTCAGATATATTCAAGTCTCAATCCAGACACAATCATAGAATCATAGATAACTCCTGATATTATACATTGGTATAGTAGAAGCACAGTAACATTTGTTCATTTACTAAACTCAACAGGTCTTTTTCCCTTTCTTGGAAAATAAGCTTAGGGCTCCTAGACACCAGTCCTCCACAAGGCATTTACTACATATTATTAAGCACATTGGAAAGTTTTCAGTTTCAACTGTGAATCAATAAAGGACAGTTGCAAACACCTGTAGAAGAACTACACAAAAACTTGCCAAATAATGAAAAGAAATACTATTAGAATAAAGCAAGTCTTTACAAAAAGTCTGACAATTAAAAGCACCCATTGCCCCATAGCGTAGCAATTCTCAGAAGCAAGTTAGGATTAAATGAGACATCATGAACTTATCAGTTTCATCTGCTTCTCAGTTTTTATCTCATTTTAGGATTCTGGTCTAAGAAAATTAAGAAGAGATAACACGCAACTTTTCTGTATTACATAAAAAAGACATTGAATTACACAAAATATTCAAGGGCAGAAAGTTAAAAACTATGTGATACAGTTTTATCATGTGTTATTATCATTAAATACATGGTAAGCTACGAAGATTCCTCTCAAAATATAGACTATGTACAGCAGCAGCAAGCTAAGACGTTTCAGGTAGAAAGGCATTTTATTTAGTACAAATACAGTACACTTAAGAACACAGCCTTGTTTCAGAAGGTTTTAATTTTACAAACAACTAAATTAAACACTGTCTGTATAAACTGATTTTTCAAAAGACAATTCCTTGATCCACCAACTGACGCAGCTCATCTTTTTTACCTACTACATACTGTTATCTTCAGTATCCATTCACATCACAAAGCGAGTAGTAATTCAAACTGACTTACAGTTATTCAGGTAAATACACTGAAAAACCCCTTTAGCCTAGACCAGCTCTAATGCTGTCTCAGGCTTTTTAAAAAGATTAAGCTGCAACAGAAGAGATGGTTACGCCAGACTATGATATTAAACAGTCTTTGGCGAAAAGAAGGTAAAGTTAAACCTTGAAGATAATTTTGAATCTCACATGCTTAAGAAATGCTCGATATATTTAAGTGCATTCTGACCTTAATCAGAAGAGAAATTAATTTTGAAAAGCATGCAAAATGCCTGCCAGGTACACTGAAGGATAAAAATGCTAATACTGAAGAATATAAACAAGCAAAGGCAATGCAGCTATGGCAGTGAAGCTATACCCTTTAACGAAAATCTAGCAATACAATTTCTACTTGAAAAGATTACTAGTAGAACAAAACACAAATTGATTAACTTACTTTGGGGATAGACGGCTTTCTCCTTTTGGCTCCTGATTTTTCTTCACTTCCCTCTGCAGCCTCTTGACTGCTTTCTTGAATAGTTTCTTTGATCGATGTGTTAACAGCTGGATGGGACTTCAATAGAGAAATCACAATTGAAAAGCAAATCCTTTCCTGGACTACAGAATAAGTACAGTGAAAGGTGTTCTACCACTTGTAAGCTACTGGAGAAAACATCAAAATAAGGAACACTTATAGAACTACAGGAATCTGTAATTTTTTCCATTTCCCTCACGTTTTAATTTAAGTTGTATTATCATGATAATACTTTCAAGCTCTGATGCGATAAAGATGAAAACTACTGCAAAGTAAGTTTTTTCTCATTCATAATTAAGGAAAATTAAGTTTCAGTTGAATTCAACTTCCAAGACTCCTGTCAATAAAAGCTTTTAAATGAGCTTTCAATCTAAGTGAAAAAGAGCTACCTGCTCCTGAAAACATCAGCAAACAAAACGTAACAAAGGCTAAAAAATGACAGTTAAAGACAGAAATAAATGAGGTGAAGTCAGAATTACTCTTTTTCATTCCATTACTTTATGGATAGCATTCTCATTCCTAAATATCCTTCGAACAAAGCTGGCAGAACTCCCCTGACTCTTTAATAATTCCTCCTTTGCGGATGTGGTTTTGGACTTCAGCCCAAGCCACAAGCTCCTTTCTACCCGCCACTTCCCTTACTAGCAGTTATAAGCAACATCTGGTATGTATTACTACTGCTTTCAGTACGTTCCAGCTAGCTCTGGCAGTTGAGCAAAAAATGCCACTATCAGAAAAACTTATCAAGAAAAAATATACCCAAAAAGAGATTAAAAAAATGCAAGTTCATCTCTCCCTGTAAGTAGCTGACAAGTCTGGCACTTTAATATTGTCTTGTATCCAAAATAAAACTTCAATTTTGCCAATTTGTCCATGTGACTGCTTCCCCTCTAAACTTATGTTGTGTGAGGCCTGACACAGTTGCCTACTCACGCTCCATTTATAGACTGACAATGGAACTGTCTTCCCTGCTACTGTCCTGCAACTGTCCTTCACTTAACTCTAAGAATGTTTTCGTGTTTGTTTTTTTTTTTTTTTTTTTTTTTAAAAAAAAAACACACCGAACAGTAATATGTACATCACATGCAGACAAAGGGAATAACTTAAGGTACATTAATCTCCAAGAATATAGCTAAGAAATACACATTTACTCACTTGGACTACCACAACATATTACTAGGCAATAATATATTGCCCTACTTGAAAATATTTTAGAAAAACCTTCCACTTCACAATTTACTTAAGTAACCCTTCCTCCATATCTTCAGCCAACTATCTGTCTTCACTTTCAAGATAACTTGCTCCCTACACTGACCCTTTCTCACACTACCCTGGGCACAGGAACAGGTTTACGATTCTGTGTCCCAGGTCACTGCAGAGTCCTGAGGGGCTGTCCTCAGCCTGCTCCAGCTCTGCACCCACTGCAAATCCACGTTGCACTCAAAACAGGGCCCAAGGCACTGCTGGACAAAGGCTCAGGGAAGGAGGTGACAGCCCCAGACTGGAGAGAAACCAATGATAAGCTCAGAGACCAAGCATGGCAGCAGACATAAAGAGGAAGAAGTTACCTGATCACAGACCTAATGCCCACTCAGGGCATGAGGGACACCGAGGCAGAAGAAAGGCTAGAGTAGGAGAGGTACTGAGGAGAAAAGCGGAGGCATAGGAGGAGTGCTCCCAGCCAGGCCAGAGCTCAGAGAAGCTGAGTGAATGGAGGTAAAAAGGTCCTTCGAGGGGACCACAGTCCTGGAGAAGCACACCCAAAGGTGAAGAAAGAAACAAGGAGCAGCAAAAAACAAAGTAACTACACCTCCACTGCCTAGTTCTAGGGACTGACTAGTACATATGCCAAAGGGACCAGAGAACAGGAGTGGGGAAGCAAAGCACATGGATGAAAGCAAACGTATTCTTCACAAATGTCTTTGTTTCTCCTTGCGCACATCACTAACAAAAAAATTCCTTGCGTTAATTACCTAAATTGTTCAGAAATCCCTGACTTGAGGGTTTTGCTGCTCATGGCTTTAAAAGCCCTTTTTGGTTTTCAAGCCTCCTCATTTTACCAACCTACTTCACATAGAAGTCTCATGCAAACTCATGCATAACAATAATTACATCTAACACCCAATCTATTCCCTTTCCAGACTACAATGTCCTGAGCCACTACTTTCAAAGTCTTTAGTTACTGTGACAATAGCAGAGATTATTTCTTATTTATCAGGCAGAAGAGCGTCCTCTTACGAGGAGCAAGAACCCTATGTATTCATTTCCCCAGCTTAGAGATTAAGATATTAATGTAACACCCTCATCAACTGGAGAGCTGCAGTACAGTCAAAACACCAAGGGAACTGACAAGAATGTGAAACAAGGTAATTCTGAAACCCCAGCTTTGTGAGTTGTACATCGTTCTGCAAAGACAAAAAATAAAGCTCATATGAACACATAAGATGAAAACAAGTAAAACTGAAACAAAAAAAAGTATCACTACAATTTTATTCGTGGATAAAGCCAGATTTTTCCATCCAGCCTGTGACTCTCTGAAGTAACAGTGATATAACATTCATTCTCAAAATTAATTCAAAGGTTGTTTTATTTTCCCATGAAATGACATCTCTGAGGAGTCATGACAGTGACTAGAAAGCATCAAGTACTGCCAAAGAAATGTCCCTAAAGTAGACTCTTATAGGTGGCTTTTTGTCAGATTAAGTAACCCTTAATCAGTTTTGCATTCCAACTTCTTTTGCAGAATGTGGCTGCCATTTGCAGGTATTCTCTTTTAGTACCATCTCAACAGCCTGCAAGTAAAACATGAGATCACTGAGATCCGCTCCAAAGGATCCACTGGACAAAACAGGAAGTCTATTAAAACAAAGGTTTTTATTTTCTGAAGTTATGGGCAAGTTCTCTTCAGAATTTTTGCCTCACCTACTTTCATTAATTCAGTAAAATTGAATATATGAGTGGATTAGTCACTACTGTCCCTCTGTAATCCATCTACTTTTACAGTCAAGATACCTCTCAGGAAAGTTCATTTTTAAGGTTCAGTTACAGGACCACCATTTAAATACTGCTTGTGGAATTATTTTATTGTTTTTAAATAAAAAAAAATAGTGAAAATAGTAAGAAACAATCCAGTGGCTCCAGAGAGAACACTACCACAACACACACTTTATTGAAGAGCCACCACAGAAGCTGGATTGAAGTATTCAAATGATATTGAAAAGTTACAGAGAACACCTTCAGACTTGCTAGACTAAGAAATCAGTATGTATATGCCTGCTGGCAACATGTTTTGTCTATCCCCAATTGAAAAACTATTTAGAAGTGTCTGAGATGTTATGAAAACAAGTACAGCTTATGAGAAATTACTGATATGCTAAGAAAGAAAATACACTGGAAGATCTTGCTGCTGGGTTGTTTGGGTTTGTTTTTTTTCATACAGAGATTATTAGTCAATTGTGAACCATAACTGAATTGTATGTTTTCATGTTGTTACAACTCCCTCCACCACCCAGGCCGTACCAGTCTGTTACCACAAAGTAAAGAGGACACAGTTCAATGACTCAACGTTCTGTAGCAGAAAAAAAACAACCCAAGCATTCTTTACTAATACGTTTCTTCCCAGTGGGATCATGGAACTAGCACCCTTCTGTATCCAGGAGCAGAGAACAGGTATATCCAGAGCACAACCTCTTTTCTGCTGACTCTACCTAAGAAGCTTATTAACACTTTATCCATCTTCTAAAGTAAAGGGACAGTAATTTGGGACGTGTTATGGAGGAGAGATAAAATGTTAAAGAAACAGCGTGTCACATAGGAGAAGCAAATAAAGACATCTATCCTTTTTATTACTACTACAGCACTGCCTGCAGCATTCACTGTGACTGAGCAGTGTTTTAGACATACTTTCAACCTTCCTGAAACAGTCAACATGGTTTGCCATGAGCTTACTACAGGAACAGAAATCCCCATTCACATGAAAAAAAAACCACTTATTTAAAAATCTATGATTGAGTGACAGCAATAATCCATTACCCTACAGCAAGTAGAACTCTTCGCTTCTCTTTCCCCTCAATAGTACAGTAACAGTTGCAGATTGCAAAACTTACCGGTTGATGAGAGAACTTCACTTTCGGATTGTTGTCAATTTCCCATAACCCTTCGTTAAAACCCTTTCTTTTGTTTGGTTTTCCATATTTATCTTTATTTTCAGAATATGGGAATATGTCCTTTGGCCCCAAAAATGCCCTTCGGAAGATACAGAAGAAATTACCATGAAAAAATGTCATGTTTTAAACAGCCTTTTCAAAGGAAAAGTATGCATCAAACATTAAAGAAACATAATTTAGGAGCACAACAAAATCTGCTACAAATACAACTTTAGTTTTCTCAGCGGCCCAAGTTTTTTGTTACTGGCACCATAAAGACAGCCTCTCTCCATCCTCAAGTGTTGAGTTTCCAGGCAAGAAGTAGTCAGTGCTGCATGTTAAGACTGCAGCTGTTAATACAACCAACTACTGTGAGGCAAACCAAGCAAGTTGCAAAGAAACAAGAAGAGTACGTGCTTCTTTAGAAAAACAAGCTTAACATTTAAGGTAAGCATCCTTAAATCCTGACAGTGTAATGCAAGAGAACAAATAAAAGCAGAACAGTTCCAAGCTAATGCATAAAGTCTCCTGAAGTTACTAAACTAAAAGCAATGTACTTAGAAGACCAAACTGAAAAAGAATCTTAAGTGTATAAGACACAGAAAAAAGCAACACTTGAATGCACCAACTGCCCACAGACGAATGCACTTGCCACCAAAATCTTTGAGAACACACTGTAATTCAGCATTAATTCAGTTTTTCAGTGTGTAAGGAAACACACTTCATTAACAGAATTTAATAAAAACTTTAAACTGTTTGTTATGGTAGGGCTCTTCCCTAGTTCTATTCTCAGTGAACTAAATACCAATTTTCTTCATTTACTCTTGCAGTATAGTTCCTAAGATAATGTATCTTTGTCACATGAAGAGGCAAGAACACTGAACAACACTATCCCTTATCCTAGAACTATGTAACTAAAGCTACTGGCCTGCCTTTTCTCGTATGTCAAAGTCATCATATCCACACTACCATTCTCTCTAAGCTAGACACTGAAAAACAAATTACTGAAGACAAACACCCTGGTTTATGCTGAAGAATAAAGTCTATACAGCTCCTGCTCTACTCCCAAGACATTTCAAGCTATTATTTCATTGCACCAATTCATATGCTGTTAAAACAAAGATGACACTTCAGTGGTTCAATCTCAGCTTTGCTATGCACTCAGATGCAGCCCTGTTTGACATAAGACAACTATCTGAAAAGTTACAGATACTTGCTTTCTGAGGTAGTAGCTCAGAATCTTTCAGAAAGGCTACTTTAGATAGACACTTTACTAAGCTAAAAGAGAACATTGTGATCCAGAAAGATTAAACACCTCCTACTCCAGCAGCAAAATGCTTACCTATGTGCAAAAAGTTTCAAGCATGCCTGCCCTGCACACACCCCTTTACAGGAAGAGATGGTTAAGAGAGGATTCAGCCAGCACAGGAAGGAAATGTACTGCAGAAGTCCTCATATCTGGACCAAAAGACTGGGGAGGGAGACAGAAAGAAGCTGGAAACACAGTCAGTATTGCCTCCTTTCTTCTCTTCCCACTTAGCAGTATTTGTCCAAGGTCTACCCATATTCTTCAAGCTTTGACAAAAATACTGCTATGAAAAAGTAACATACTGGATTGCTGTACTTAAACTCCCATGTGCCAAAACTGAGTAAGAAAACAGAATGAAGAGTAACATTTTCCCTTACCTACAGGATCTAGAAACTACAGTTCTAAGTAACCTCCTATTTATGACACAAGTTCTGCAACAGCGTGATATAACCAGCACAAGAGATGCAATAAAAGCTTTGTTCAAACATCATTTTTAATACTCCTTTAGAAAAGGGTAGTGCTGCTAGTGCTGCCACATTAGGACAGTACAGAAATAAAAACAAACAAATCCCCAAAGCCTTCTTTAAGCATATACCTATACACTTAAACAGCAAGAATTCAGTTGTTTTTAGAAAGACCTTCAACAATATCAATACACTACTAATTTATACTTGTTTCTAGTGAACTGCAAAACTAAGTTCATGTTACTCCTAGCAAACTGAGAATAATTATTCTCAAGTCAATCTTGTTTATATTTCCCCCTATATTCTTCCTACACACAGCTAGACTACACAGAATACACAAGGACTTTCTACATTGATTAAATTAGTTGTTTAGGCTTTCAGATACTTGCCACTACTTATAGTCATATTTTATCCTACAGTACAGAGTGCCTATGTTTACATACACGTGGAACTAACTGTGAAAAGCAAAGCAGACAACAAGTGTACCAAATTGATTTTCTCATTAAGAAGTACAGAAAATTGTTGTATCTAACTGATTTCCAACAGATCACTAATTCACTGCTTACTGCTACAAACCTAAAGAAATCTAAGCACTGTGAAATGGCATTCTCTATTTTCACCCAATTGGTTTCTTCCCACTGTTACCCACAGGTTATCTGCTGTAAGCAACATTAAGTATGATCAAAAAGCTTGAGTTTCATCTGTTATTACTCTGAGGAGCACAACATAAATCACATGCTTAAAGAACGAGACAGTTCAGATGGTTTCAGATAGTACACTGCAAAGTAAATGATGTCTTTGTACTTTGCAGATTATACAAGAAACTATCCTGACCACACACAGCCCAATGAAAATCAGGCTGCAGTAAAACTTTATCTTGTTGAGGATGAGTGAAAAGGAATTCTAAATATACCCAAGCAAATTAGCAAAAGATTCCAAAGCCAAGTACATGTCAGGAAGCCTAAATGAAAATAAAAGGTATCGTGATGCTTCTCAAGATTTGCAGAGGTATTTCTAAAACTTTAGATAACAAACTCTTCCTCCTTTACATTCAATCTAGGTCTTCCAACTTAGAAACAATTAGGTACAACATCAATCCATACCTATACACATCATCAAGGAAAATAAACTATTCAATACTGCATTTTTAACTGCAAAAACATCTTCGGAAAAGTATTAAGAATAAAGATAACCTACTGCAGTGCTTAAATTTGCCATTAAAATAAATCTTTCATTAAGTAAAAGGGCAGTACTCAAACACTGCAACCTCAAATCTTATTTCCAGGAATCCTTCCTCAACAGGGCAGAACCGCAACAAAACTGAGCAGTGGAATGCAGTCCCCTCAAAACAAATGTGTGACTGTAAAATGCTACCACTGTTGGGAGCACCAACAACAAATAATTCCACTCTACACAGCACTGGTGCTGCCTCAACTTGAGTATTACGTGCAGTTTTGAACACCACAGTACAGAAATGACATTATTAGAGTGTCCAAAGAAGATGGTGGTCTCATAGTGACCTACTGCTCCTCACAAGAGGAACAGATGAGCATGCACTCATCTTTTCTGCATGGTGATCAACAGAGAAGAGTCAGCTTGATATTAGTGAAAGGTTCTTCACCAGAGAGGGGTTAAGCATTGGAACATGCTCCCCAGGGGAAGCAGTCACAGTACTGAGCTGCCATAATTCAAGAAGCATATGGACTACACTCTCAGACATAAGGTCTGAACTTTGGGTGGTCCTGTGCTGAGCCAAGAGTTGGAGCCCATGATCCTTGTGATTCCCTTCCAACTGGGGATATTCTATGATATATTCTCATTTTTTCTCAAGATCTTACAAACAAATACAAGTCCAAATGCCTTTGGGAAAAAAAAAAAAAAACAACTAATGTAGGGCAATTTGCTACTTTCTCAAGTTTTACCTGCTTCATTGTTGTCAGTGTTATTCCACTTTCTTTCAGAACAGATTTTTGACCATTTCTGTATATATATATATATATATATATATATATATATATACATACACACACACACACTTAAATGTCATTATAGGAGAAAGAAAAACTTAGTCATACCACTACAGGTAGGATTTGTTTCTCTACTGAGAAGGAAAAAGTACACGGTATTGTTACAGTCTACCATTCACTTGAATAGCTTAAACAAATGTGAAAGTAACACATCCTGTCAGAAGAGATAAATTTAGGAGATGATACACTACTGAACACTGCAGTATTACAATACACAACATTCAGATAAGTCATTAAGTTGCTGCTGAATGAAACATGAACCAATGAAAGAAACAGGGCCCTCAGATATAAAGGACTTACGTCTCATGGGTGCCAAAGAAGAAAATAGGCATTTTATTTGTTGGAGGTTTTACTGCTCCATCCGGAACTTCATCCACCTAAGGAAAAGACAAACTACAATTAAACTCGGGCAACAGTTGATAACAGTCTAAAGGGAAATACTTAAAAATGCTAAGCATTAAAAAAAAAAAAAAAAAAAAAAAAGAAAAGAAACGATGCTACAGAGAGGTAAAGTAGGTCTTGAGGGCAATATGCTAATAGTAAGAAGTGACAATGCTTCTCATTTTACAGCAACGCCTCCCTTTTTTGTTTTTTGGCTAATATTAAGGAGAGGCACAATGAGCTGGCTACAGGTAAAAGCAGCAATCCATCCAAAAAACAATATTTTCTTCACCATAATGCACAATGACACTTCTTACCTGTAAGCTAAGCTGATAACTTGTCCGAGGAAATAATCACAAATTCTTAACCAAGCATCTTAGCTAAATGGTTCATAATTAGCCTAATTTACAAGTTCATGCCTATTAGCATGCCCTGGAACAGCCACAGGACTTGCCATGGCACCTCCAAGGGAGCGGTGAGGAGAAAGGACCGGACAACTTTGCACTTATGTTCAGTTTCTCCTACGGGAAAAGCTACAGAAATACCTGACTTCAACACTAAAGGGTAACCCTGCCACAACTTGGTATTCTCCTTCGGTTAAAAAAAAAAAACAACAAACAGCCGTTATTTGGGAGCAGTAGCTCTGTATAATTCGGACTCCTTGCACAGCTCCAGCGTTTGTTATGCCACCATACAGAAGCCTACGTTTTGAAAACAAAGTTACGCAAATAGGGACAACTGGCGCTTGCTAGAGAGCTTTCACAGGGCGAGCCCGGGGCCTGCAGCGCAGCGGTGGTCGGCTCAGCCCGGGGCACCGCACTGGGGGCGGGCGGCAGCACGCGGCAGCAAAGCTCCCCGCAGGTGCCCGACAGCGCGGCGCGGGGACAGCGGGACTAGGAGGAGAGGCGGGGGGAAGGGACGCATCCTCCGCGGGAGAGGGGGCCGAGGGGACTTACCCTGGCCGGCCAATGCGGATAACCTTTCATCTTGGCAAAGATGAGGTCCCCGGGTTTAAAATCTCGGCTCATGTTGTCTCACCGCCGTGCAGGCCGTCCGTCGTCTCGCCGCGAGCAGAGAACGGGCCGCGGGGTAGAGCGCTGCGCCCAAGAGCCCCGCCGCCGACACGAACACGCCGCGAGAGGATGCGAAGGGCGGGAAGCGGCACCGCGCTCGCGGGGTCCCTGCGCCGAGTCCAACGGCCGCAAACGCCGCCCGCGGCACCGACGCCGCGCGGGCCACGCGCAGACCCAGTCTCCGCCCTCACGACTCCCGCCACACGGCCGCACCGCCCGACCCCCGCGAAGGTGCGCAGCCGCCGAAGCGGGCTCAGGCCAGGCTCTGCCTCTCGTTCGCGGCGCTCTAGCGCCTCGCTCCCCCCTGCGCCGGCGCCCGCCCCGCAGCCCACCTCCACCCGCAGCCGGCGCCGCCGCGCTCCTCTTCCTCCCGCCCGGCGCGGCGGTACCACCTGCGCGGCGCGGCGGGGGGCGGGCGCGGCGCGGCCGGCGGGCGACCGCGGGGCTTCTCGCGTCCGCCCGCCCGAGAGGCGGTGGGGGCGGCTGTCGGGAGATCGCCGACGGCGCGTACCGGAGAGACGAGGGAGCCCGCGGGCCCGCTCCGTCCCGTCCCCTACCCCCCTCAGTGCTGCGAGTGGCTCGTTCCTGCGTTCGCTGGGGGCGGGGCCGCCGCGGCGCTGCCGGGCGGGGGAGGAGAGAACGGCGGTGCGGTCTTGCGGCTGTAGCGGCGGGAGGGGATGGGAGGGAGGGCGGCGAGGTCGCGCTCTTCCAGCGGCACCTCGCTCTGCAGCGCTCGGACTCCTGGACCTCCGCTTAAGGTCCACTGACTTGTCCTCGGGCTCTACCCGGCCGATAATTTCGCCCCTTCACAAGAAAGGAGCAATTAATTACCGCCATCCTCGTCTGAGTAATGGAAACGTGGTTGTCCCAAATACGTCTTTTGTGTTTGTCTGTCACCGGGCAGTGCCCTTACGGCACGCCGCTTCCTGGCGGTTCGCAGCCCTCACCTGCCATGCCCGGAGCTGTTGGCTCTCCCCAGCGCACCCGCTACCTCCTCCGGCCGCACCTGGCTTGTTTGCCTGTCAGCGCCAAACGGTCCTCTCACACCGTTTCAGCCACAGCTGAATCAGCTTATTAAATAGATTCTTCCTTACTATCGGTCTAGTTGGGTCTGGCCCTTCTCTGTATTCAGAGTTAGGAGATCCGTCAGCTCACACGTGCGTTTGACTATACCTTGTGATCACACTCAGAAAGTCACAGTTCAGCACGTTGGTGCTGATGGGCTGCCAGAGCTGGGGGAATGGGCTGCATGGAACGGGTAGTACATGCCATGACTTTTCAGTCTTCCCATGATTATGCTATCTATCAGTGACAGACATAGCCATTTTGTGCCACTCTCGATAAAAGACCTGAGGCACAGTTGTACAGGCTAGGTTTCTGCAGGCTCTGCCCATCACACTGTTGTGGGAGGGGAAGTCCTCTTGAGAAGAGCTGTCATCCTGCTTTTAGTTTTGTTACTGAAACTCAGTTGAGACCCAAAAAAAAAAAAAAAAAAAAAAAAGACGACAACTGCAGTTGCTACTGAGGAAGTCCTGCTGCATTCTAGGCTCTCCTGGTTTATTCAGAAAGGTCAGTTATAAATGTTAACAGTAAAACTTCACTCCTATTCAGTTGAACAGATAGAAACTGCAGTTTTCCATTGGCTTATAGAAGTCAAATTTGGTTGATTTTCTTGACTGCTTGTATCTCTGACATAAATACAAAGTTCCCACAGAGCTGGACATGAGTTTATCAGAAAATAGAAGGCAGTCAACACACCTGACAGAGAAACTCCTCCTCTGGGAAAATAGATTATCATATGGGGCAGCAGCTGTTTACAAACAAGGTAGGCTGTACATCTGGAATTGTTCAGCTGAAGGTACAAGTACAGATGCAAAATTGCATCTGCCTTGGTAGGTAGAGAATTATTTGGTTTGGTGCTTGAGCTCATGCATATTTCAGCAGTAGTTAAAGTTTACTATTTTTTTCCTAAGTTATAAAGTGTTGGCTACCTACTGAAGAAAAAATAAATGCATATATTAGTATTTTGCTATGCAAGAGCTGACAGTCTGCAGAAATCCCCTTGGCTCAGTCGTTGTTCTGTTTAATCATATAATTACGTTCATCTTCCATATCAGATTAAACAAATTCACATCTTAGTTTTCAGGCAATGTTTTCAGAATTTGTTTTAGATATTCCAATTTTCTAAGCTTTTGGAAGGGGTCTTCTGAAAATGTCAGTGCTGAGGAATCAGAAGCCTTCCTCTGTGTGATTCAGTGATTTTATTTTGGATAACAGATGGACTGCTGAAAATATTTTGATTTTTCCTAATTAAAAAGCAATTCAAGATGACTTGAATGTGAGAAAGAACTTTTTGACTCTGATGGTGACAGAACACTGAAACAAGCTGTGCAATCTCCTCCTCTGGAGATATTCAAAACCTGTCTAGGGAACCTGCTTTAGCAGGGGTGGACTAGATGATCCCCAATAGGTCCTTTCCAAACCCTAGGATTCTGTGATTCTGGCTTCATCATCTGTAAGTAAGGTGATCTTCAAAAGAGACTACTGAGACCATTGCATTTTTAAAAAGAAAATGAATACAGTGTTAAGAGCAAAACAAAAAGTTTCCACAATATTTTGCCAGTGATCAGGCTCATTAGTACGTTGTTAAGTACATAGACTGAAGCTAAACTTCCAATACAGACCAGTGTGTTGAGTAAACAGAAGACTGCAGACAAATTGTTCAAAACAACTTACAACAACAAAATATGTGCATTTTGCAATGAAGATACTGTGTTGGAAGATAGTAGCATAGCATACCGATGCTATTAGACTTTAAGAAGAGTGGATCATCAATTTTTAGCAAATGGTTTCCTTTTGAAAGACAGAATCTGTGGCTCTTCCACCAGACCTGCTGCCTGCTAAAGTAAGAACTTAGTACCCTGGTAGGTGATAAATAACTGCAAGCTATGAATAAGCTTCAGAGTTGAAAAACAGTTCAGTTCTTCCTGTGAACAGTGGCATTTCTTGAGCTTGTAGTTTGAATCATCTGTTTAAAACATTACTTCCAAATGATTTCCTGCAAGTGTCGGTTTGCTGCTTTGCAAAGCAGCAGGCTGGCATCCGGCCTGCAAGTGAAGCAAGTTGTTGCTCCCTGTTCTGTTAAGGTCAGAACTATATTGATGTATTTATTCTCTTCCTTCTTCCAGAACTTCAAGCACTTAGATCCAGCAGACTGACTTAGATCCAGCAGACTTAAAGTCACACCAAATCTGGAGGCTGGGTTACCAGAACAAATACAACCCAAATCTTCAGAATAGATAATACTGCACAACTCTCTGTAGTGCTAAGAGAGCAGACAGTACTGGTGATGGAACTGATCAGTCCTGTGTTTCCAGTACCGAAGAAACATGGCACCTATACAGCTCTGCAGAGCTGCCTGAACCTTGTACAGCTCATCTTCATGGATATCTACACTGGTACTTAAGATTAACATAGACTACAGTAAAGTGATGGAATCCTTTCTATAAGAATTGTAATGAGGATAACTGTGTTTGTAAGCCCATTCTGTGCGCTATCCATTGGTCTATGTAGTTTCTTCAGTGACATGTTCTAGACTGTGATTGTGGGAGAAGGAAGTTTATGGACTGTGGAAAGACAGTCTGCCTACTTGGAAGGAATACAGGAGTGCTGTACTAGGACTACCTGGAATGTAACAAGGAAGGCTTCAGCCCACATGAAATCAAATCTGGTAAGGGAGGTCAAAATAAAGACTAGGGAAAAGCTGGGCCTGCCACCGAATGAAGTGAGTACCCTGGTAATGCAGGATTCCAAGAAGGTGGAGCTACTGAATGCCTTTTTTTCTTCAGTGTTTACTGCTAAGACGGCCCTGCAGGAACCCCAGACTCTGGAGATAAGAGAGTGTGAGGAAAGAAAGAATTCCCTTTGGTGGAAGAAGATCTGATCAGAGATTATCTAGGCAAACTGGATACACACAAATCTATGGGCCCTGACAGGATGCACACATGCATACTGATAGAGCAAGCAAAAGTGATGGAGTGGTTCCACTCTCTATCATCTCTGATAGTCATGGGGAACAAGAGAGGTGCCTGAGGACTGGAGGAAAGCCAGTGTCACTCCAGTCTTCTAAAAAAGCAAGAAGGACCTGGGAAACTACAGGCCAGGCAGCCTCACCTCCATCCCTGGGAAGTTGATGGAACAACTTATTTTGGATGCTATCTCCAAGCAAGTGCAAGAAAAGAGAATTATCAGGAGCAGTCATCATGTATTCACCAAGAGGAAATCATTCTTGACCAATCTGGTGGTTTGCTAGAATATCATGAAAAGGAGTTCTGTGGAGGACCTAGTTGTCCTGGTGGACACAGGTTGACCATGAATGATCAGTTTGCTCTGGTAACCAAGACGGTCATGTTCTTAGAAAGAATGTGGCCAGCAGATTGAGGGAGCCCATTCTATGCCCTATCCACTGATCTATGTTGCCTCTTCAGTGACTTGTTCTGAGGCCATATCGGGAGTACTGTGTCTATTCTTGAGCTCATCCATTCAAGACAGGGAACTACTGAAGAGAGTCCAGCAAAAGGCCACAAAGATAATCAGGTTCCCAGATCGTTTCTCTTCTGAGGAAATACTGAGAGACCTGGGCCTGTTCAACATCTGACTGTCTCCCACAGCATTCTCCTGGAGAAGCTGGTAGCTCATGGCTTGACATGTTTTCTGTTCACAGGTGAAAAACTGGCTGCATGGTCAAGCCCAGAGAGTGGTGGTGAACTGAGTTAAATCCAGCTGGCAGCTGGTCACTAGTGGTGATCCTCAGGGGTTAGTACTGGGGCCAGTCCCACTTAATATCTTCATTGATAAGCCAGATAAAGAGATTGAGTCCACCCTCAGGAAGTTGACAACAAACTGGGAGGAAATGTCAAGCTGCAACGTGAATCAGCACCCAGCAAGATGGTTTAGTGGGAGTGGTGGTTATGGGCTGATGGTTGGACTAGATGATCTTTGAGGTTTTTTTCCACTTTAATGATTATGTGATTCTAAGACTCTGGAGAAGACTGAGAGTGGATGTCAGCAACACACACAAGTATCTGAAGGGAGGATTTCAAGAGGATGGGACCAGGCTTTTTTAGACACAGAATCAGGGGCAGCAGGCATTAACTGGAGCACAGGAAGTTCCACACAAATGTGAGGAAAATTGTGACTGTGACAGCTTGCGCTGTGTATTCTCCAGTAATCTGCCCATATTTGGACTATCTGTTTTTCAAGATTAATCAGGTCTTCTGTGGGTTATGTACTCCATTCAGATTGTCTGGTAATCTGTGGACATCATGATACATTTTTCATAGAATTCATGTTTTCTTCAGATGCAGGTCAACATTCTGTTAGAGGACTGAGGAATGGGAAAGCTCCAATACAATCTTGCTCAGCGGGACCCAGACTTCCCCTGGTCCGTGGAAATTCAAGTCACATAAATAGGGAAATAATATATATCCAAAGCACTCTTCTAATTCCTTGCTACCAGAGCAAGCTTGTAAGTGGATACACATTAAGATTGTGGGAGCAAGGAACTAGGAAGGTGCTTTAGATATCCATCACTTTGCCATTTCAGGTTCGTCCGCCTCGGCGGGAAGCGGGCACTGCAACCGCGCCGCAGCCAGCGCCCGACTCGCCTGAGGGCGGCGGGGGCGCGAGCTCGAGGGGGAGCATGCGCGGCTCCCTCCCGCCTCGCGCCGGCGTTGCCCGGGCACAGCGTTTCCACGCACTGCGTTCCAGACTCGGGCGGAGCCGCGGCAACAGGAAGCGGCAATCGGGGAGTCCCGGCGCGCGGGCGCGCGGGGCGGGCGGGGCCGCGTTCTTCTAACCGGACTCTAACCGCCGAGCGGCCCGGAGAGGTGCGAGGGTACGAGATGAGCTAGGGCGGGCCGGATCGGGTACGGCGGAACGGGGCTTCTCTGCGGTGCGGCGCCGCTCCGGGCTGGCGTTCAGCTTGGCGGCGGCCGGCCTGGAGGCGGGCGAGAGAGCGGGCGGCGGCCACGGTCCCGGGACATCTCGCGTGGCGGTCGCGTTCGACCGAACCCTTTGGGGCGTTTCTTGTTGGCTTTGAGTCCGTCGCGGTGAGGGTCTGTCGGCCACGGCCTGTTGGAGCTGCGGTACGGGTGCGCGTGTCAGCAGGGAAACGCTGCGTGCTGCTAGCGGGGGCAGCCACGGAGGAGTGCCTTGTGCCGGGGAGCTGAGCTGCGGAGTTCCTTGCCTCGTTAACCTGAGTGCGGAATGTTGTGTGTTCCTCTTGCGTGCTCGTCGTAACTGATTTAAGGAGCTCATAAATTATGTTTGCTACTCAGCCTGAAGTAAATATATGGATAGATAGATAGATACACATGTGTGCATATGTGTGTAGATATAGATATATGTATACACAGTCTGTGTCATAAAAATGCAATTGATACTGATTTTTTTTTTTCCTATTGTAGATACTGAATTATGAAATTTATAGTAAAGAGTTTGGTTCTCCTCCTTTGTGCTCTCTGATATTGCTGATGCATCTCCTGCAGGAGAAATACTGTTGAGTAAGAAGTAGCAGATCTATGAAATAGAAGGCGAGTTGTGTCGTTCTCTGCACTGACACTTGATTATTGACTTAAAAGAAAAAAAAGAAAATAAAAAGCAAACGGGCAAATCTCCAAAACAAAGTCCAACAAAATGCAGTGTTAATCTCCCCTAGAATAATTTTGAAGAGAAATCAAGTTTGCAATCCTCTTAAGAGTGAAGGCTGTGGTGACAGGTACAATCTGTGCAGACAACGCATTTTGTGTTGGCATCTATCTGAAAACTGATAGTGGATTTTCTACAATTTTGTTTTAATCTAAACCTTTCAGGCTCAGAGGACTGATAGTGCAGATGTTTACTGAATAAAACAGTTGTCGAATTGCAATTGATGGTAATTGTTAAGATGGTGCTGCAGTAATGCTGTTCATTAAAGTGTTTTGACAGCTTATGTAACCAACTAAACAATTATGCCTCTGTATTACAGGTTTTAATGTCTTTATTTGATGGAAAAGAGGAAACTTTGAAGCTTCTCAACTTAAAACTTAGAAAAAAAAATATTGTTGTTGAAGATGATCTTAATTCCAAGGACCTCACAGACTTAAAAAGCTACTGACATAATGACTGACATAATGAATTTGTCTTCTCCAGTCAGCCATGTTGATCATGAAGCTAAACGGTGAGTTTTACTTCTGAGTCGTCTTAGTCTGGTACTATGGTTCAGCTTTCTGTGGGTAACGTTCTCAATCCCTGAGACTGTATAAGTCAGAAGAAGCAGATATGATGCATTAAAGCTGTGTCATGCCATTATAGTCATTATATGAAGAGGTTTAGTTGTCTAAAGAGATTTGTAATGGCTATCTGATGTACAGGAATTCTTCTTTGATTGCAGAAGACATAACTTGCATAAAAAGGGAGTTCCTGTCTCGTGTCTGGGGCACTGATATGAAATGCCAGAATGATTCTATATTAGCTGAGGTTGAAGAGGTCGGGTTTAAGTCTTACTCACACATAGGCAGAAAGAACAAAAATGCTTGAATATAAACTTGAGATAGGCAGTCATACTGTGGACCACTTCCTCAGGTAGGGGAATTTTGAGGATTGCATTGATAAGTGGAACGTAAGACAAATTCTCTCTGTTTCTATACGCTTTCTGCTACACATAGATGGAAGGATGGTGAAAAACCTTTTTCTGTCATGTTCTTTGTGCACTGTAACTAGCTGGCTTAGTAAATAAGTATGAGCTTAAAGCTTTTGAGTTAGAGGGTCACTTTACAGGGTAGAACTCAAAAGTTGTTTCACTTCTGTTGCTAAGAAACTTCAAAATACTTCTAAAGGCAGTGCCTTTCATAAAAGTTGTAGTTGATAAAATACATGTTTTTTTTTTCAAAAGCACTTATTAATGAACTATTAATATAAGACAGCAGAAATAAAAAGCTTTCTCTGAATTCTTGTTCCAATCATACATACTGTAACACTTCCTAGGGATATTTTGTGTGATTTTTGTCTTTGATTTAAGCTTCCCTCAGCTTTATATTGTAACACGTTTGCACTTCATGTGGGGTTGGACTCGATGATCTCTAGAGGTCCCTTCCAACCCCTACAATTCTGTGATTCTGTGAATATAGAAGGAAGAATCTCACAGAATTATAAAGGTCAGAAGGGTCGTTTTGAGATTTGTATTCAACCCTGCCCTTGCTAAAAGCAGGTTCCCTATAGCAGGTCGCATGGGAAAGTGTCCAGACAGTCTAAAATATCTCCAGAGGGGGAAATTCCACAACCTCTCTGTGCAGCTCATTGCAGTGCTTTGTCACTCTTACAGTAGAGAAGTTCTTCCTTGAGTCCACCCCCATTGATTTGACTCCCCCACATAAGATATTTATAAACTGTATTGGGATCGCTTCTCAGCCTTCTCTTTTTGAGACTGAACAGTCTCAAGTCTCTCTTCCTCGTACAGGAGATGTTGCAGGCCCCTAATTATCCTTGTAGCCCTTTCTCAACAGGTGGCATGAAATGTCTGTAATATGCTGCATATGCTCGTGATTCCGTGGAGGTTAAATAAAATATCACAAGAATGGGATTTCTGGAGGCCGATCTCTGTTGTATTTGCAGATATTCAAGCAGACAGATAGAAAAATGAAACTGTTAATGTAACAATCTTTTTTTTTTTTGTTTGAAACAGCTGATTCAATTTGATTTTATGCTGAGAACAAAAATAGTGTTTTCAGCTCCGTATTATTAGTTTTTCAGTAATGCCATTGTGAGCTTTAGAGGTTATACAGAAAATACTGTTCAAAAGAAGAATATACTGCTTCTTTTTCAGTAGTCACCCTTTCATTTTAATGAAATCCTAGGCCAACACAGAATTTCTGGAATGTCCCCAATATCTTACTTCTTGTGTTTGCTCTTCTTCTACTGATTCCAGTATTTATAACATTAAATCACACAAAGCCACACATTTATTTCATAGTTTTCTCCATTGTGCTTATTTCTGTTGACTTCTCTGGTCAATTAGTACATAATTAGCAGTTTTTAAGAAGGAAAATAATGCTGGTGGGTGCAAACCATGACTCCTGCCTTCTCCAACCCCAAAACTTAACAAAATCTTAAATTCTTCCCATACCTGTTGCTGATTTGAAGGCTGGGGAGAGTGGACAAAGAGACACTCTAGATTATTTTTTTTCCTTTCTAGTCTATACTTTGTTACCTTTGACACCTGGCCTTTTTATAGCTGTGTTTTGTTGAGGCTGGTTGTCGTTTCACCTCTGAATAAGATGTTCTATCTTGCTTTCTTCTGTCTTTTATACAGCTGTGGGGAAGGGGTTGCAAAGGAGAAGTCTTTGGACATTTATGTGATGTCCACAAACAAGCTCTTACACAGCTTCTGGAAGTGCACAGCATTCAGATCTCTTTTGTTTCCTGCTTGATTTACCACTTCGTCTTGCTGCCATAGCTAAGAGTTATTTAAAACTTCCTTCTCAAGAAGGAAGTCTTAAGGGCGCAGGAGCAGGCAGTCCCCCAGAGCTGCAAAATGAGCCGTTGGGGAAGAAGAATGGCGTGGATGAATAGGGAGCTATTCTTGAGGCTCCGGGAGAAAAAGAGAACCTACCGCCTGTGGAAAGAGGGACAGGCCACTCAGAATGAATATGAGGAAGTCGTTAGGATGTGTAGAGGTGAAATCACAAAGGCAAAAGCCCAGCTTGAATTTAACCTGGCCGTTGGGGCGAAAAGGAATAAGAAACTCTTTTATAAATACATTAACAGTAAGAGGAGGACAAAGGAGAATATCTTTGCTGCATGAGGCTGGGAATGTGACCACTGAGAATAAGGAAAAGGCGGAGGTTCTGAATGCCTTCTTTACGTCTGTCTTTAAAAGTCAGACCAGTTATCCTCAGGATACTCCTCTCTCTGACCTGGTAATCTCGGCTGGGGAGCACACTAACCCCCCTGTGATTCTGAAAGAAACAGTCAGAGACCTACTGCTCCAACTGGACTGTCACAAGTCGATGGGGCCAGATGAGATCCACTCGAGAGTGCTGAGGGAACTGGCGGAGGTGACAGCCGAGCTGCTTTCCATCATCTGTCAGCGCTCCTTGTTGACTGGTGAGGTCCCAGAAGACTGGAGGCTTGCTGATGTGACTCCCGTTAACAAGAAAGGTTGTAAGGAGAATCCGGGGAACTACAGGCCTGTTAGCCTGACCTCGTTGCCAGGGAAGGTTATGGAGCAGATTGTCTTGAGGGAGATCATGCGGCATGTGCGGGGTGACCGGGGGATCAGGCCTAGCCAGCATGGGTTCATGAAGGGCAGGTCCTGTTTGACCAACCTGATCTCCTTCTATGATCTAGTGACCCATCTGGTGGATGAGGGAAAGGCTGTTGATGTGGTCTACCTAGACTTCAGCAAAGCCTTTGACACTGTCTCCCACAGCATTCTCCTGCAGAAGCTGGCAGCCAGAGGCTTGGATGGATACACTCTTGGCTGGGTAAGGAGCTGGCTGCAGGGCCGGGCTCAGAGAGTGGTGGTGAATGGAGTCAAATCCAGCTGGTGACCGGTCATGAGTTCCCCAGGGGTGGGTGCTGGGGCCTGTCCTCTTCAATATCTTTATTGATGACCTGGATGAGGGCATGGAGTGCACCCTCAGTAAATTCGCAGATGACACCAAATTGGCTGGAAGTGTGGATCTGCCTGGGGGTAGCGAGGCCCTACAGAGGGATCTGGACAGGCTGGAGAGCTGGGCTGAAGCCAATGGGATGAGTTTCAACAAGGCCAAATGCCGGGTCCTGCACTTCGGCCACAACAACCCCAGGCGACGCTACAGGCTTGGGGCGGTGTGGCTGGAGGACTGCGTAGAGGAAATGGACCTGGGGGTATTGATTGATGCTCGGCTGAACATGAGCCGACAGTGTGCCCAGGTGGCCAAGAAGGCCAATGGCATCCTGGCTTGCATCAGAAACAGCGTTGCAAGCAGGAGCAGAGAGGAGATTGTTCCCCTGTATTCAGCACTGGTGAGGCCGCACCTCGAGTACTGTGTCCAGTTTTGGGCCCCTCACTGCAAGAAAGATATTGAGGCCCTGGAACGTGTTCAAAGGAGGGCAACAAAGCTGGTGAGGGGTCTGGAACACAGGCTATATGAGGAGAGGCTGAAGGAGCTGGGAATGTTCAGCCTGGAGAAGAGGAGGCTCAGGGGAGACCTCACTGCTCTCTATAACTTCCTGAAGGGAGGCTGTAGTGAGCTGGGGGTCGGCCTCTTCTCTCGTGTCATTAGTGATAGGACCAGGGGGAATGGTTTCAAGCTACGGCAGGGGAGATTCAGGCTGGGCATGAGGAAGTATTACTTTTCAGAAAGGGTGGTCAGGCACTGGAATGGATGCCCAGGGAGGTGGTGGAGTCACCGACCCTGGGGGTGTTCAAGGAAAGGCTGGATGTTGTGTTGAGGGACATGGTTTAGTCGGAGCTGTTGGGAATAGGTGACCGGTTGGACTGGATGATCTTTTAGGTCTTTTCCAACCTTAGTGATTCTATGATTCTATGATTCTAAAATAACAGTAATTCTTTCTGCCACCTTACCAGAAAGCTAGTAATGTGCCTGGCATTTTCTCTAAGTACATGCAAGTTTTAATGGTCCTGATCTCCTACATTTATTGAATGTACAAAATGTGTTAAAGAAATGGCAGCATGTGGAACAATTACTGGTAACATACAGTTATTTTGATTTCATAGGTGTCATTTCATGATTTTTGGTTATTGGTATTCCACATCATAACATCATGTAGTGCACTGGGAGTTAAAGAGTTAATGCTCCAGGTCTGGTTACCTGTCCCAAAAAAGAACAACTGCCTACCCCAGAGAACTGTTTGTTGTTCTGTTGTTGTTTCCACTCCAAGGGAAGGATAATAACTGTTTGTTGATCCCTTGCCCTCCCCAGCTCATCTCTAGTCCCAGTCATCTTGCCTGCCTCAGCATTAGAGTAAGGCCTTTAGTTTTTGGATGCTCTCTCTCATTTAACTTGATTTACTACTTCCAATTCTAATTATATTGTATTGTATCATAGTGTGTTATCTTGCATTCCAGTATCTTATTTAGTAAATTAGTTTATTTCTCCTCAGATTGTTGCTGCTGTTTTGTTTTTAGCCCATCTCTTTACCCTTTTCCTTTTTTTCCCTTTTTCCTTTCCCAGACTGTGGGTCTGTGGATCAGCCCCCCTCCAACCCCCCCCAATGTCACAGAATCGGTCCAAACCAGCCTGTAAAACACTGACATTAACTTCGTCTTGTTTTAAAGTGAAAAAAGACTTACCTTACGTAGGTCTTCATATTGATATATAAAGTGGATATAGACTTGCTAATTGTCTGATAAAACATCTTTGGACCTGTGCTAAAAAATAAAATGTCATTCTCTTTTTAGTGATGTCATTACAATTAATAGTTAAAAAGTTGTGTTACATTCCCTGGCTTTCATATCATTCTTGTCTTTTGAAAAAATTTCAGCTATACGTATTAACACATAGGGTTCTCATTCGCAGAAAATTGTCCACTATAAAAACTTAGACTCTAGTTAAAAAAACAAAAGTCCTCAAACCCTAACCAACAAATAATTAAATAGTAATAAATTCTGTTACTTCTGTAATTAATATTTAGGACTCGTTAAACAAAGATAAGCGTTCTATTGTTTTTAAGTCTGTTGGAAACTGACTATTCTGTGGTTAATGTAGTCATGTTTCTTTGGGCTGTATATTTCTTTGTGATCCTGACAACTTTTGCTTTCATGTGGAGTAGCTAATGTCAACTTTTTTACATGTGTGCGTGCAAAAAATGACTTTTAACGCTTGAAATAACTTAAAGTATGGCCAACTTGAATAGCAGTAATTGCATATGAGATTATCAAACAAGTTAATTAAATGATCATTTTTATACTAAATATCCATTCTACATGTAAGTGCTTGTTTTTATTATTTTATTATTATTTGTGGTCCACAAGGCCCATCTTATTAGTTGTAGTTTCAGTTTTATTTGAGATTCTAATTGAAATGAATGTGCCGGGCATTTTAAAAGATTGGACCTTCAATTTGTGTTGTTCATAATCAATTGCTTATATATTTAAAGTAAGTGTATACATATTTGAAAAACATTTAAAGATTATTTTAGTTCTAAAGGTCTGCATTTGTTCTGTGGCAGAGGTGGTCTTGACATAGTAATTCATGTGTTTGCTTTTATTTTAAAAGAGCCTTACTGCAGGAGACAAAAGAGAGGTGTATTGATGTATTGAAGATGTCCTGAAAGTTTATTGAACTGAAATAAGAGAATGAAAAATAATAAAATAATGATTATTTTAACATCAACTCTAGGAAATTCAGTCAGTGTCTCTCTTCTGAATGCCTGCAGCTACATCTTATATCTTGCATGAGCAGTTAAATCTAACTCTTTTTTTCTAAAAGTAATAGTTGGGTAGTAAATACATGGCATAATTTTATGTAAGTGAATGCTTTGCATTTTTTTTTCCTCAGAATCTAGCCATTTAAAGAAGGGAGTGTTAACATTTGTAAGTACTATTCATGCATTTTGGAAATATTCATGCTTTGCAGCTTATGTAGTGCCAAGAGTGGGTCACAGTCACTACAGAATAGCAGTGCATCAGAATTGGACATTGCTGAAGATCTGAAAAGGAAACTCTGTCAAGCCAAAGAAGAAAAAATAGACATAATCATTAAACACAATCAAGAAGTAAGGTTTTTTTGTTCTCTTTCATTTGAGTCCTATAAGAAGTGTGAATGTGTTTCATTATTTTCTTACATGATCTGTCAAAAATGCTGTCATTAGCCAAAAAAGAAAAGCAGTGTCAAAGATGTCACAGTACAGACCTCTTACAGCTATTCATAGGGACTGATAGCAGCTCCACTGTCATTGCTAATAGTTGAAGTCACTTCACGGAAAGTACTTGCCTCTACCAGGGTCTTGTTAGACAGAATTGCCCAATGGCACAAGTAGATACAAATCATAGCTTGTTTATGCTGATGAAAGGGCTCTATTTAGTTTTACGTGTGTGTGGTGTATATACATATGATATATATTTCTTATATATAATTTTTTTTGCCATAATATTAGAGCATTGTTTTAATTCTGCAGAATTCATAAATCTAGTACATCATTTTTGTGTGTGTGCATCACATCCAGATGGGACGTCTTTTAATGGTCTTCCAATGTCTTATCTTAGTTCAGATTTGTAATTTTGCGTAATTTATTGCAAAAGCACAACTATCATGACATTTGTCAAAAATTTAGAGCTCTTTAATGGAGACTCCATGCGTAGGGAAATACTTAGCGTAATGAAGATGCCAACTTAAAGATTTTTCCTCACAGTGCTGTGACAAATTAGTATTGAAGTGTTAAGAATTTATCCAGAGTATTCATTTTTTGCACTCACATACGTAAGGGAGGGTGAGCACTGAGTACAGCTGTATCAGTAATCAATTTGGACTTTTTGCTGTTGGGATACTTAACACTCTTGCTAAAGCCAATATGACAGGTGATGTGCTGCTTTAGACTTGTGCTTGTGCAGAGAAATTACCTCTCTGGATAGCAGTTCTAGTCTTAGAGTTTGCTATGGGTGGTTGGTGCAGTTACTCATTCATTCTTGGTGCAAAATCTAGTCATTACACCAAACTTGCTTTTTACATCTGTTCATTATTGGAGTCTGCATACAAATTAAATGGTGGCTATCTCTCCTGCAGTAAGTTGGTCTTGTGTGGCATTCTTTCCCTGCTGTCCCATTGGCTGTGGGTCTGTTCTGTAAAAATGGGTCCCAGGAGTTAAAAAATTTGAAGAGTAACCTTTTAAATTCAGAGTAAACTTAGTGTGTGCAACAGAATTCTAGTGCTGTGTCATGTTGTACTGGAACCACAAAGTTGGGTTACTTTTCAAGCAGTTGAACTACCTGGGATACTTCTGTGCCAGATGTTCACAGATAATGGAAGTGCTCAAGTTAGCTACAACCACTGTTATTGAAGTCAAACTCTGTAGGTGTTCTGACTGCATTTATTCTCCATGTTCCTGTAATGAAATAACTTGGATTTTATTTTCTAGACACAGGTTTCAGTAGCGATGACTGGACTGCATTCCTTAATCGAGATGAAATTACTTTTTAAAGGATTTTTCATTCTTAATTTATTAAGTTTAGCTGTATTCTGCTTGACTACTGAATAATTATATTGGACTAAACTTTGTTCATCCTGCATCCCTGTCAGTTACTAGATGTCTGATAGTCATGAAGGATACTAGACTGTCTTTCAAGTGTTAAATTTGGAGAAAGTTAATATAAATTCACTAGTTGAACACAATGTTCTGGTCGCTGCAGTTTTTGCCTTTAAGGTACATGAACATGCTAATATTACAGCTTTTATTTTCTTATGATAGAATTGTTTTCGTAAATGGAAAGAGTATTTTTGAAATACCTGAACTCAGTCCAGACATATGAATAGTTTGACTATATAAAACAACAGGAATAATCAGTACTCATTTACACAAATTTTGTCTTTTGCAAGAATAGATTTCAAGTTCAGGTACGTGCGAATGAGTAAGTAGCTGCAAATGCAGTTGAAGTTCTTTTTCTAAAATATTCCTTAGATGTATTTCTGTAATATGCTGTTTCTTTAAGAGAGCATTCTTGCCAGTTTTCTGAAACAAATTTATTTTGTAGCTGCGTGACTATGAAATCCAGATTGTCAAATTACGATCTGAATTTGAGAAAGGAGAGGCAATTCGACAAAGGCTGGAATATGAATTGGCAGTTGCCAAAAAAGATGCCCGTTTGAGAATACATACCGTAGAAGAAGAGTTAAGTGATGCAAGAAGCAAGCTTGCAGAGCTGCAAGGTAAGTTTCAAAAAAGCAAATGCTGAAAAATGGTAAAGTCTCTTTCAGGTCAAGAAGGGAACTGAGTTCCAGTAGGTTAATTAAGTTCACCACTTATTGCTGCATTTTGTTGGATCTCTCTTTCCCATCTCTTAGACATCTGTTTTTGTAAGTCTTATGCTTGGTGGCTCATGCATGAGTTAAACTTCTAAGCCTTTCATTTTGTTTTTTTTTTTTTTCCTTTTCCCTCCATGCATTCTGTTGTTCCCTTTTTAACTGCTGTCCTTGTACAGAATTTTAATCATGGTTAATCCACGTTTAACCCACACTGGATAGTAGTGTAGAGCAGTTCTTCCTCCCCATAATTAGATACATATATATATATATATATATATATATATATATATATATATTGCTGTTCATTTGTACTATTTCCAACAACTTATTTTTCTAGCATTTCTTTTGTATTTCACCTCTTCAAAAGCATCATTTTCATCATTCTTGTCTAGTTCCCATTCTTCCTCCTTGCTTCATTTTTTATAGGTAATGAAACATATATATGGTGCAAAGTTAATCTGTTCTGTGGGAATATGACAGTAGTCACAGATTAGCAGGAAAAAAATGTCTAAATAAAAATTGGCCACTTACTACCAGTCTAGTAGCTAGTCTATATTCAGAAACTCTTATTTCCTTGATTATTCTCAACAGTGTATGTGAAATTTCTTACCTCACTTGGAGGTCAATGTCTAGTTACTGAAGTAAATATAATACCTTATAATCTAGTAGAGGAGGTGTATTTGAGTTTGAATCTTAGATTTTTTTTCAGTGAAGATCTCGGATTGCTTCTCATGTAGAACATGTCTTCCAAGTCTCTGTAGGAGAGTTAGAAACTTGGAAATGCTTGAAAGTGCCAGGCGTTTCTGAGATAATTGGAAAACTGAATTTTTTAATCCTTTGGAGAATAAAAGATGTAGCAAAACATTCTTTGGGAATCTCAAGCCTGAACTGTTGTTTTCTTACTTAAAGGAGACTGTCTTTAGATGCCCATTTTGCTAGTTTACATGCCAATTTTGAGTCTATTCTGATTTAGATGTGAGTAGTAGGTGTTTGTACACTTAAACATACTTAAAATCTCATTCTGTAGTACCCTGTGATGTAGAAAAAGCTGTGTTTATTGGCAGCTCCATTGTGTAACTGGCAGTGGGTGGTGGACATGGGGCCATGGCTGAACCTTGCAGGAGGAGATCAGTTGTAGTTAACCCCACATCAGGTGAACCTACTCACCCACTGTGACAGTGTGCCCATCAGTGAGCCTGTGGCACCTCTAGAAACATGGATCAGGAAGGGTGGTAAAGCGTAAGAGTAAGCAAACAAACAAACAAAAAGAGCCAGAACAGGAGGAGAGAGATGGGTGAGGGACCTGGATGGAACAGTTGAAGAGAGGCAGGAATGGAGTAAAACTGGGCCCAAAGTAGTGATCTCCTGGCATGGTCTGGGAGATAGGATTCCTTAGGGATTCCATAGGATTCCATTCTGCCACTGGAGGAATCACAGCGTACTCACCCTGATTCCCCCTCACCAAACAGACTGCTTTGTTTTGTGATGAGAGAAATGAAGGGCAAAAACAGGGATAAGAGATTTCACAGAATTTTTCTTTCAAGTCAGTGTATTAGTTTCTTTCACCATCAGAAAGAAACTATACTTAGCAGTCTGTTTGAATTGTTTGAAATTCCCCAGATTTTTTCTTTTCCTCTGCAATTCCTGCCAAAAAAGTACAATAGTTATGAAGCTGTTTCTCAGTTCCTTTGCTGTCTGTAACTTTCTGCTTATTTTCTTTGCCATTTGAAGCCTTCTGTCCTCCTGTACTCAGCTGTGGTGAGGTTGCATCTCCAGTTTTTGGACCCTCGCTTGTGTCCAGTTTTGGGCCCCTTGCTGCAAGACATCGAGACCCTGAAGCCTGTTCAAAAAAGGCAAAGAAGGCAAAGCTGGTGAGGGGTGAGGAGCACAGGCATTATGAGGAGTGGCTGAAGGAGCCGCTTCTGGAGAAGGCTCAGGGGAGACCTTATTGCTCTCTATAACTACCTGAAGGGAGGTTGTAATGAGCTGGGGGTCGGCCTCTTCTCTCTTGTAACTGGTGATAGGACTAGAGGGAATGGCTTCAAGCTGCACTAGGGGAGATTCAGGCTGGAAGTTAGGAAATACTGCTTTTCAGAAAGGGTGGTCAGGCAGTGGAATGGGCTGCCCAGGGAGGTGGTGGAATAACCAACCTTGGAGGTGTTCAAGGAGCCTTTGGATATTGTGTTGAGGATATGATTTAGTGAGTACTATGGGTGATAGGTGGATGGTTGGGCTAGATGATCTTGGCGGTCTTTTCCAACCTTGGTGGTTCTATGATTCTACAGCTCTTCAGTGCTTAGATGTGACCTTATCTGGCTTGGACTGGACACAAATGAGCTCTTCTGTCCTATAGCCCTTGTCAATATTTCCTCCTTTGTTTTTTTTTTTTTTCTCCCTGTTCTTTCTGAGGCTTCTTTTGACTGGACTGAACTTGAGCAACACTAAGATTCCTTGTAAAGGGTAAGCATTTTCTCACTGGCTTACCTTGCCTTGGGTTATAGAATCACAGAATGGCTTGAGCTGGAAGGGACTTAAAAGATCACCTAGATCTAGCTGCCCTGCAATGGGTGGGGACTTCTTTCAGAGACCAGGATGCCCAAAGGCCCATCCAGTCTGGCTTTGAGCACCACAAAGAACGTGGCATGCACAACTTCTCTAGGCAACTTATTCCAATGCCTCACCACCTAAATAGTGAAGAATTTCTTCCTGATGTCTAATCCTAAATTTGTTCTCTTTTCATTTGTAACTCGTACCCTTTTCTTGTTGCTACTATTTCTGATGAAGAGTCCTCCACCTTGTAGGTCCCATTTATATACTTGTCAATGGTTTATGGGCTGGTGTGGCCTGGTTCTGTGACTAAGCGGATGGAGTGAGCCATGGATCTGAGCCCCAGAAAGGGTTAAGGGAAAAAAATAGAGAGATGGGCCTAAAACAAAACAGCAGCAATGATCTGAGGTGAAAATAACTATTTTACTTAATACCAGAATGCAAGATAACACACTATAATACAATATAATTAGAATTAAAATTAATAAAAGAGAGTGTCTGAAAACTGAAAACCGGACACTAATGCTGAGGCAAGACATGCGTTTGGAGCGAATAGAAGGGAGGAGAGCCAGATCCTGTGACTCTACCAGAGATTTCATCTCTTCTCTGAATGCAAAGTCCAGGTATGGGACTGGGGTATGTAGTTGTTCTTCTGGGATAAGTACCCAGAACTGGAGCATTAACTCTTTAACTCCCAGTGCACTACATGATGTTATGATGTGGAATACTGATAACCAAAAATCGTAAAATCACGACAATATTGGAAGGTTGTAGTGAAGTTTTCTCAAAGCCTTCTCTCATGTTGAACAAAGTCCAACTCATCCTCTTTTCAAGAGAGGAGGTGCTCCAATCTTTTGATTGTCATTTTGTCTCTCTTCTGGACCTCTTCCAACAGATCTATTTCTTTCTTATGTTAGGGGCCCCAGAGCTGAACACAGTACTGCAAGCAGCAATTCCTGAAAGCAGAGTGGAAAGCCAAAATGTTCTCTTGATCTGCTAGCTATACTGCTTTTGACGCAGCCCAGAATATGTATGGGTTTCTGGACTGCTACTGCACATTGTTGATTCATGTTTAATTTTTTTGTCCACCAGTAGCCCCGAGTCTTTCTTTGCTGGGCTGCTAAAAATCTGCTCATTGCTCAGCCTGTATTTGTACTTGGAATTGCTACGATCCAGATGCAGGATCTTGCACTTAATCTTCTTGAAGTTCATAGGGCTTGCAGGGCTTGCACTCAAGCCTGCCCTCTCTGGATGGCATCTCTTGCCTCCACTGTGGCTTCACTCAGCGGGTTTTCCTATAGTCATAAAATCACAGTATTGGGGTTGGAAGGGACGTCAAGAAATCATCTAGTCCAATCCTCCTGCTAAAGCAGGTAACCTGCAATAAGTCACACAGGCACCCTGACAGGTCTTGAATGTCTCCATAGAAGGAGACTCCACAATCTCTATTTGCAACCTTTTCCAGTGCTCTGACACCCTTACTGTAAAGAAGTTCTTCTGTGTGTTTTTATGGAACTTCCTATGTTCAAGTTTTAGGCCATAACTCCTCATCCTATCACTGTGTACCACTGAAAAGAGCCTGGCCTCATCCATTTGCTTCCCTCCTCCCTTCAGTTATTTATAAATGTTTATCAGATTCCCTCTAAGTTATCTTTTCCCTAGGCTGTGCAGACCTGGGTTACTCAGTCTTTCCTCATACAGGGGATGCTCCACGCCTTTCATCATCTTTTTTTGGCCCTCCGCTGGACTCCTTTTAGGAGATTTTTGTCTTTTTTTGAACCGGAGAGCCCAGAACTGGACACAGTTTTCTAAATGTGGCCTCACCAGGGCAGAGTAGAGGATTCTTTCATTAGGTGGGTGCATAGTCTTTATAGTCTTTAACCGCATTTAACTGAACTCAGAGTTAAATAGTAGAGACTCAAATCAGTTAGAAGTGTAGAAATACACTGACCAAACATTGTGGAAATCTGAAATTAAGTCCTCTATTCTACAGAGCCTCGTTTGAAAGAATTAGCTCAAGTTTTTAGCCTTATCCAAGAGGAGAAGAACTTCAATTCATAAAAATCTCTAAAAGCATTCTTATATCCTTATGAGAAAGATGCTACTCAAGCCTCAACTTCTTTCCTTTTTATAGAGGAGGTGGTGCCCTCCTGTGCTAGATATATTTGTTGTAATGTTCCAGAGAGTATCACAATACGTAGAAGAACCAACACTCACATTTTTTTTCTGAGCGTGCTTAGCAGTACTTTTGTCATCTTTCTTTCTCTTTTTCTGTAAATAATAGTGTTCAACGAAAAGCTTCAGCAGAGACTGGTAGAAACTGAGAAAACATTTCATATTGCTCAACAGAAGTGGAAAGAACAACAACAAAGACTTGCAAGTGAAAAGGATGATATTCTCAGAACACACAAGGATGAATATGAATTGCTTCTTAAGGAAAGAAGTGAGCTAGAAAGCGTTTTGCAGGTATGATCTATTAATAGCTTTGAAGATGAATTGCATGAGATGATGCCTGGAACCTTTTTTGGTGCAAAAGGCTAGGTAGTGGATTGGAATTTTTTCTGGTAGAGAAATCTCCCTAATAGATAAATGTTGCAATATTTTTTCTGAAGAGCATAGCTCTGTGAAGTTACACTTACTGTTTTGCAGACTTTCCTGCTTTGCTGGAATGTAATACAGCAGGTTTCATGTTAAGCAGCTAAACCAAGTCAACAGTGCGCAGTGGCGGTGAGGCCCACTTGCCCTTTATATAGTTCAAAGCTGAGTTAGTAGAACCAGGGAAGCCTAAGACCTAGCTTCTGACTCAATTTTCCTTCCACCTCCCTTAGCCTGTCTTTTGCCTTTAAGCACAAAAATCACTTGTACAAAATGGAGATAACACACTCATGGAATCCAAACTGTGATAATGGGATTTCCAAATGTATGTTGTATGTTATTTGCTCTGTGCAACATAGAAGAATGTGATAAATGTCTGTGAAGTTTTAAAATTTCTGTAACCTTAGCACTGGTAGAAAGAACTGCTATTAGAAATTCAGATGGGGAAAAAAAAAATTTAGTGTTTATAGGTGATATGTCTTATGCTGTGGATTTTTATTCTTCAGATAATTAATTTCTGTGTATTTCTGGTAAGTGCAGTTGGGCTGCACTGGCATGCATAAATCCCTTAGATGCAAAATATGTTTATGATTTTAATAACTTTTATGCTCTTTTCACAATCAAGCAATTCAAAATAATTATATTTCAAAGAAATGTAGTAATAAGCTGTGGAGATGTTAACATGCCCAACCATTAACATATGCCACTGGGATAGTAACAGTTACATAATTACAATTTAATCATTTTAATCTCTATAATGGAAAATTGAATCACCATATGCCTCAGTGGTATAGCAACGCCAGTTAAGGAAAAATGAACAGGTATTTAACTACTATTAGAGAACATCTAAGAGAGGGCTATGAAGGTAGGAAAGGGTCTAGAGGGTAAGATATGTGAGGAGCTGCTCAGGTCCCTTGGTTTGTTTCAGCTTAGAGAAGGCTAATGGGAGACCTCAAGGCTGTAGGCCCCCATCTCACACAGAGTGGAGAGGCAGGTGCTGATCTCTTGCGACAGCAGCAGGACCTAAGGGACTGGTTGGAGCTGCCTCGCGGGAGAGTCGTGTTGGGGTTTAGGAAAAGGTTCTTCACCAAGACAGTGACTGGGTGCTGGAACGGGTTCTCAGGGAACCCGTCTTGGCACTAAGCCTACTGAAATAAGTGTTTGGATAATGCTCTTAAAAATAAGAGTTGGAGTTTTGGGTGATCCTGGATGGAGCCAAGAGTTGACTTGATGATGCCTGTGGGTTTGTCTTCTTGAGTTCAGGGTATTCTAATACTCATGCTTTAAAAGAAGCGTAGAGCAAAGGCTCTAGTAGATTTGATAGCCATTTACTCCTATACTCCTAAGAGTGACAAGTGCAGAAAACAAGTTGCTACTTAGATATTCATTTTCTGTTACTCAACTTCTGTTTTTTTAAAATGTTTTTCCACTTTATTCTTTGTAACTTCCTTTAAAACATGAGAAACTTGACTCAATTGGACTTGTTGCAGGTCAAGCTGCAGAAAATTAGCTCTGCTTTCTTCCCACGCACTTAGCTCCAGACCTGGGGCACTGCCAAACAGTCCTCCCAGTGACACTGAACAACCCGTGCCTGGCAGCTTAGAAGCTATGTTCTGACAGCAAAGTTACCTCTTTAACTACATTATGATGCTGTTTATCAGATTCTATACAGTACCCATAGGAGCATCTATTAAAAAAAGATAAGAGCAGAGAGAATTGTTGAATTACATCTATTCCAGAGTACTGTGAACTTTCTTTTCAATCCTTTGAAAGCAGGATGTAGTAAGAAAGATGCAATTAGACCTGAAATCAAGTGGTGTGGCTGCATTTGTTCTTGTGCTTGCAGAACGAGTTGCACTGTGTCAGTTTGGCCAGTTTTGGGCTGGTTCTGTGACTGATGGGGCAGAGGGACCCACAACCCCCCCCATCCTGAGACAGAGGGTGGGGGTTAAGAAAAAGGGATGGAGGTGGCCCTGAAAACAAAACAGCAGCAATGAGCTAAGGGAGAAAACTGATTTACTAAATATGATGGCAGAACGCATGAATACACAATATATTACAATATAATTGGAATTGTATAAATCCAATAAAATGAGAGAGTGTCCAAAAGTGGAAGGTCTTACTGTAATACTGAAGGTGAGATGGCTAGGGAGCCCACACTGTAGAGATGAGAAAGAAGGGGCAGTCTTGCAATTTGTGAGACATTTTATCTTTCCTACCAAATAGAAAACAGGAATGGAACAGTGGAAGTCTTCTCAGAGGAGAAAAACAACATATCCCAGAACCAGGTACTCAGAACTATCAACAGAATTAGAACTGAAGCATTAACTCTCTAATTCCCAATGCACTACATGATGTTATGATGTGGAATACCAATAACAAAAGTCTTAAAACCATGACGCGCTGTATTGCTGTGTTAATACTTCAGAGACCTGGTTGTGGAGGAAGATCACACAGCACTGTGTGATTTTGTTTAGTTTTGGTCTTACTTTATGCAGATTAAAGAGATTCTAAGTATGTATGCCAGTCCTTCTTGGAAAAGCTGTATCTAATAACATGTGATTCTGAAGTTGGCTGTGGAAATCTTGAGGCATGAAAATGAAGTCAGCTTAACCTATTGAGATGCATCTCCAGTGAATTAGAAGGCACTCACAAGGATCACTGAGTCCCACTCCTGCTTCTACCCCATATTCAAACCATATATATGATGGCTTTGTTGCTTTCCTTTAGATGCTCTCTAAGAGCTTAATGTCCTTCTTATGTTGTGCTGCTCTATAAACTGCACTCAGTGCTTGAGATGAGGCTGCGCCAGCACAGAGAAGTCTCTTCCCTCAGTCAGCTGACAGTGCTGGGTATGATGCACTCTGGGGTCCAGGAATGGCTGCCAGGGATCTCTGCTGACTCATCTTCAACTTGCTGTCAACCAGAGCCCCCAGATCCCTTCCCATGGAGCTGCTCCCCAACTTCTTGTTACCCACTGTACATAAATTCAGGGTTATCTTATTCCATATGCAGAGTCTTGGATTCCATGTGATTGGTGATTGTTAGACTTCAAAGTTGTCAAGATCTCTCTGCAAGGCCTTTCTACTCTCAAGAGAGTCAGCATTCCCTCCTAATCTAGAGTATTCACTAGCTTACTTAGCATAATATGCCTTTAGCTCCTGTGTCCAAGTGATTTAAGAAGACATCTAAGAGAACTGACCTCAAAATGGAGCCCTGCAGTACCCCACTAGTTACTGGCCACCAGCTTGAAGCCCACCACCCATTCACTATAACTGTGAGCCTGACGTGTCAACTGCTTGTTCAGCCATGGATTACATTTGTCTTTAGCTGTATGCTAGATATTTTGTCCTGAAGAATACTGTGAGGTGCAGTATCAAAGGCTTTGCTGAAATTCATGAAACTTACACTGGCTGGAGGGAAAGTAATCCTGTCTGATTTGTAACAGGCTCTTCAGTGTGTCTACTGATTATACTTTACAGCCCATCTGCTTCATAAGGTAAGAAAAATTTGGAGTTTAGTAATAAGTGCAATAGCATCACCTTCTGGTTAGCCAGAAGACAGTATTATTTCCCAGAAACACTCCAGTTTTTTCTTAAATTACTTGTGTGATCGCATTGTTTATACACACATTAAAAAGTAAGCGATGTTTATATGTGTGTGCATATGCTATATGAGCATATGTGTATATGTTTTACGTAGCCAAATATTTCTCCTTGTAGTTGATGAGGGCAGGTGACTATTGGGCTAACGTAGTACAGTTTCATACTTAGGAGAAGTCAAAAAATCTCCAAAACGTTTTCTAAGGTTATGACATCCTACAACTCATACTGACTTGTATAACTAGCTTGATGTATTCCTCTTAGTTGTAGACTGATTAATGTCAGTTACATTTCCAGTATGAAATATTTTTAAATCTTGACACAGTATTTTTCCCCTACATATAAATGATATATTACTTATTTAATACATACTTTTCCTGGCTTATTTTTGTTAACATCTGGAAGGTGCACTGAAGAGATACAGATATTAAGTGTGGAGAGAGTATGAGTAATTGTGTATTAAACTTTTCTTTTTTGTTCTGCAGTGGGAAGCCTGATGCAGGTGGGAGGAGACATTAGAGGATTAGTTTAATTTGTTTCCAGGACTGTTATTTGCAGCATTGTATTTACTGTAGGTTTCCATTCTTAATTCATGTTTTACACAGATGTTCCTTGTTATCTTCTCAGGGGATGCAAAAAAAGTCGAATAGTGGCCTGCACATGAACGAAGAGGCAAAATAAACTTACTTTCTAATTAGCAGTTCGTAATACTTAGCATGCTAGAGTGGCCCTGATTTCCTTACTGTCATGTTTGAATGATGAAAACTTTCTACCTTCAATTCAGAGGAACACCCAAAATCCATTTCTAGACTTTGGAAACAGCTTGTATTTGTTTGGTCTTCAGGTGTAAATGTGGTTCCATCAGACTTGGTTCTTCAAAAGAATCATTCTATATGAATAATTCACTTTGTCCTTCTCTTTCTCCATGCTAGGATTTATGATTAGTAATTTTTAGAAACAAGAATATGTGATGTAGAAATAATAGCAGAGTGTGCAGACCAACTGAATACCTTTAGTTTATTTTCACAAAATGTCTCTTGGCAAGATATTGAATAGGATTAAACGAGCAAGAGGACTTAATGGAATCTTTCTGTGTTTTGCACAGAAAGCCATTTTAACAAATTAGGTCTCTAAAGGTTTCCAACTAAATCACTGGATTTATAGCTTCTTCCTGATCCTGGTTATGAGAAAGCTTATTCCTGTCCACTAGACTAAAGCTAGTAATTCTGAGATTTCTGTAATCTCCAGCTTAAGTATGTGTTAGACTACTAGGAGTTCGTTATTTGGCTACTTTTCTCCCAGCTAGCTGTGTTGTAGAAGTGAATTAGGTAGCAGTGACTCCATGGAGTTGTAGTCCAGCAGTGATATTAATTATCCCACTCCATACCTTCTCTCATTTTCTGAATGCAGAAATTGGAATGGGGAGCAGCATCTTTATTGAGAGATACTCTGTAGATTCCATACATAATTGTTTAAAGTAATTCAATTTCTGGACAAATGTCTTTCTAAGATTAGCAAAAATGAACATTTTAAGTTTATGGAAGTAACCAATTTTAAAAAGACTGATTTGATTTCAAGTTCTATTAATAAAACCAAAGCAAAATCAAACTTCCTGTCCCTATGTATCCTTTTGTCCAGTGCAATTGCATGCTTTCCTTCCATCACTGACATTTGGTAGGATGGTAGAAGAGTTTGGAAGAGTAGCCCTTTAAAGTTTCCTGTGGGGAATTGTCTCTGTTTTTACTGTAAGCACAGAAGGTCATATTTATGCTGATTTTTGAACCAGTGCATTTTGCCTGGTGGAGAATGAAGAACTTACATGCTCTTGAGCAAGTGGCTCAGTTGACAGGTTGGATTTTAATAAATGGTAATTCAGTCTCTGTCCCCAGAGTGTTCCTTTTTTAAGCTCTGCATTATTATTATAAGACTTTAATAAAAGTATTATTTCATTCTCTCTTTTTTTTTTCTTTTTTTTTTATTTAGAAGCAGAATAGCGCTCTGCAAAACTTAAGTAAGAAGGTGAAAGATATGGAGCTGGAACATCGTGACTGTTCAGAAATGCTCACTCGTCATGTACACAAGCTTGAACACAGTGCTGAACAAGAGGAGCAGCTTAAAAAAGAACTCGAAGTAATACTTTTTGTTTACCGCTATTCCTCTCAAGAAACACTGAAGCTCTGAGCACTTTTGTTATTGTGGGATGAAACCTCTCAGTTTTGTGCTGATTTCTGTTTACAGAATTGACAGAATGTTGAACATCCATTTTGCAGAGCAGCTGAATAGACCAATGCCACTTACTGTGTGTTTCTCACTTGAGACTGGTGTTAGAACAGCATGAAAACAAGGCTGAGATCAGGAAACCTTTCTTTTCTTTGCATTCTCTCTAACCATGTATTGTCTTTTTTTTTTTTTTAAATCCTGTTCTTTTTTGCTTAGGGTTCCTTATTTTTTTTTGCACAATTTTTAGAATAAGTAAACTTGAAAAGGAAAATATACTAGAGCTGAGAAAGGTGCCAGATGGTGTACGAGGCAGAGAGAATAACATACCAGCAGTGATGCTTTACAGCACTCCTATCTATGCCTAAATGCTAAAGGCAGTTTTAGTTTGTGTGTTGAGTGATATCTGTTACTGAGAAGTCTCAAGCTTTTCCAACTAGTGTCTTCTAAATGAATTTCCTTTACTAAAATGCTGTTTGCAATTTTCTCCAAAGTTTCATTATTTTGTTCATCTAAGTTACTATAGTAACTGCTATCTGAACGTGTGATCTGAACCAAGAGATTCATGACAAAGGATTTGTCACTGGTAAAAAGTATAGAAACCAGATGTCTCTTTATGATGTAAGTTTCCTACCAGAGATAGTTTTAGACGTTTTCTATGACTAAGTTCAGAAAATTGGCACTGCTGGAACATTAGGAGTTCTTAAGAATAATGTAATGTACATTTTTTAGCTGTACATCATTAGTTTGTTCTTTCTTGTTTTTCTCCTTAAAAGCAAGGAAAATATTCAGAGAATTGGTTGCTAGAAAGTTAGAACACTGCAGTAAAGGTGAAGTACAAAAGAAAATTACTGCAGGGAACATCAGAGCTCGTCAACTAAAAGCACTGATTATTGATGAATGAAGTGGACATTTGTACCCTCAGAGATCTATAGGAAATCTGTTGTTAGGTACTGCAAGGTGCATATATTGGCCTGGACAGAATTGCCTTCAGGTAGGAAAGTACTATGAAATTTGAATAGGCCTTTTAAAACAAAGATTTTTGCTTCAGTGGGCTTTCATGAGGGCTGTTTTTTTGTGTAACTCCAGGACATAAAATATTAACATAGAAATAATGAGCTGAAAGGAAGAATAAGGCAGGCAGTGGTTTCTTTCTTCAAGTAATTTAATTGGGTGTATTTACCATCTGTAAATTTATAAAGGATGCGCTCAGTTCCTCAGATATTTAACCGTGTGCTGGAGGTGGTTTTATTATGGAATGCTATATAGTAGCCAAAATCAACTAAGATAACTTAATTATGGCTTAAGTTTTATTAGAATCAATGTATTTGATCCCTTTAATCTAGTGAGAAAACAATCTACACTACAGAGAAAGTATTCTTGTGGTATTTCCAAGTGTAGTTGTTTAAGTAACAATGAGGAAGGTAGGTGATAAATGTCCTTGCATAGGAGGTTTAAGCAAATGACTACAAGTTTGTCTATATAAAAATAGTGAAAAGTAAATTAAACTGCAGTGCATATGCTCTGGTCTGCTTGCATCTCACCATCATAAAAGTAAATTTCAAATGTGTAGATGTGAGAAAGGACCTACCATTCTGTGCTTAAAATTAGGTTGGTAGGAATCTCTGGGAAAATAAACAAAGCACCTTTGTGCTTTGAGAAGTAGAAGCACTGGATGTTTCCCATTTATTGGTTATCTTATTTAGCTTATTGCTACCTGGAGACATCACACTGGGTGGTGGACTCGCGTTCTAGGATTTGTGACAACAACATTATCTATGCTGTACAAAATACCTGCATCTCTGTTTGTTGAACAGTTTGTTCTGCCTGTTCTGTGATTATGAAAGGCTACCAATTCAAAATTTCTGAATTGACTGATCATCTGATTGATAAAACCGATTTTAAGTTGTGTCAGCCATGATCCTGTCCTCAAAAAATTAAGCATACCGGGAAGCAGTTTAGTATTAACAGAGCTTGAAGTCTGAATTGCAGCCTTTCTTGTTCAAAGCCTTTCTTTGATTTATACATTTGTCTTTCTACTTATTCTCTTGCATTCTGGAACTCAATCAGTTAGAGATATTTTCTTTCCTTCCTGAAGAAGCAGAGTGGAGGGACCTCAACAAAAAAGACCAGGTATGCTCATCTTCAACTGAGTGTGGCTACTGGAGCTTTCTCCTTGGAAATTGTGAAGGAAGTAATGCAGAGGTATTCAAGGTCAGATCTGTTGGATAAAGGAGGCGGAAGTGAGCACCGGGTTCCCTCCTAGTCGGTGGAAGGAAAGGGCCATACCCTGTTAAAAGGGCATGCTGCATTCCCACATAGCCTTAGGTGCTTCTGTGAAGCCTGGAGATTGTTGATTGTTGAATTGTTGAAATTTAAGCTTATTGTATATGCTATGTATAGAATTTCTTCCTCTCTACCATGGTAGCACGATCGCTTCTGTACATCATATTCTCAGTTGCCACTTTCTTCCTGTGTATTGTGGAAGAAGCATTAAAGAAGGGCAGTAAAGTCTGAGCAGTAGTTCTCACTACATGCCAATATGTTGCAGTTTCTGTACAGTTCTGTAATACTCTCACATGGTTCTGTGTGAATTTTAAACTCCTCACTCTGTGGGAATAAGTACTGCCTATTAGAAATACAGGTATTTCTGTTAACGTTCTGATAATCAGTCTGTATTTAAAGCTGTGATTAAATTATTGATGTTATTTTTACCTGTAATGTTGATATTTGAGGTGGATTTCCATTCAGAGGCCTTAAAGTAGTACACCTCAAACAGAAAACAATTATTTTTTCATGTAGTAGTCCTGTATTTGTTTATCTCTCTTCATGTTATGGATTGCTTTTTTAAAATTCTCCTTAAATTGGAAAACAGTCCCAGAAGTTACCACTATTTAAATACTTAGCAGGCTACCTTATTATATAAGTAGGCATTAAATAGGAAATGTGTACTTTAGTTTTTTTATGACATTGATAATCTTAGGGAGGTTTGTGTGGAGAGTAGGGTTGTTCCAATTAAAAGGTCATCCTTTAATTTTTTGCTATTCGCTGCCTCTTCATGTGCACTTAGGATGAAGTTTCTCAGTTTGCAAAGCTGTTTACTACCCTCTGCTGGACATAAGAGAGAAGTCCATGAAAAAATGCTTTCTGCTGTAATGAATGAAATAAAAAATTTAAAAGTCTCTGACATTCCTAGAAAAGATTATATCTATTACATTGTAATAGAAAGAAAGAAGAAGAAAATTCTTAACCTCCTCCCCCTCTTTTTTTTTTTTTTTTTTTTAATATTACTCAGGTGTTCTCCCTCAATTATTCTGAACATGATCTGAATGAACATATTTCTAGTTTCTGGAGTATATTTCTAGTTTCTGGAGTAAGAATTGATGTGAATGATTAGTCTGGGAAAATTACCATTATTCTGTTGTAAAATAGCTGTTCCAGCTTGCAGCAGTACCAAATGTGGTGTATTGCTGCGTGAGCCTGGGGTCCTTCTGAACACATACTCTACCAGGGAAAAAACTGAAGTTGAAACCTTGTTATTGTTCTGTCTCTTTAGCCCAAGATTCACTAGTCAAATTCTTGATATATTTGTACTGAACTCATCAAGATCCTACTATTAATGAATGTTAATTTTGTGGAACCTGAGTCTTTTATTTTTGCCCTTTGCTCCTCTAACTCTGGAAGGATGATTTCTTGGGAAATATAGAGCAGTTTGTATATAAAAACAGTGTTTCTTGTAATGTGTCTGGCTGCCAAAAAGCTGGGTAGGAAAGCTATTTGATGAACAAGGAATGAGAGAGGAGTGTGGATTTTTATCATGAAAAACAGAATTATTGTTTTATAAATTTCAGACTCTGTCTTGTTCATGGAACTGTGGTGATACTCTATTTTCTGTTATATGTTTTTGAGGTTGCTGACTCCCAGAAAGTTGGAGCTCAAGGTCTGTCAAGGTTTTTAAGCCTTTCTCTTGAGTCTTGAAAAATGTCCCATAACTCGGTTCATTTTATTTCAGAGACTTTGAATATATTGCTATATCTGTGATACTTTGAGTGTGTTGCCATTTTAAGATCAGTCCCTTAGCTTTCAGAAGGTCTTTCTGTATTCCCCTCCTTCAAGTATATCGACCTTTCACTATGCTGCTGAACATGTAGTCTTGCATTACTTTGGCAAAGCTGCTATAATGGAAAAATGACTGGGAAGAAAACTTGAGTGATGGTCCACCTCTGTATTTACAGAAAGTGTAAGTATGTGCGATAATAAAGTACACGTAATAGTGAAGTTGTGAATGTACTAAATTTCTTACTGTATACAAGTTAGTGAATTGAGAAATTGAATCTCAGATAAAAGCAAAATTGTGAACAGACAAAACTAACTGAATTGCAGTTGTATAGATCTCGCAGGAAAGAGTTGATAAAGCTTCAAACAGTATAGGAAAGGACACATTCCACAGCCTGTTAACAGGGTCACTAGTTAAAATTTGAAGTCCTCTTTGTTTTGTCTGCCTGCACTTTCCTTTGTGTCTCGCTCATATTGAAGCCTCCACTTCATAGGGTCTCCACAATCATCTGCACTCCCTCACAGCTCATATTTAGGAATTAAAGTTACTGTGGCTGTCTTATGTGCCCTTTAAGCACTGCATTTTAGTGGCTCCAAAGTTCAGGTTATTTCAGTGACATGCTTACTAATGTAATGCACTGTACAGAGGGCCTTCCTTGTTATCATCAACATTTTATTGTGTTATTCAGGCAAAGGTTGAAGACTTCTCACTCTTAACTCACTGTCAGACTAAAGCTGAATATTCTGTAGACCTTACTAGGATTTAGTAGTCACACTTTAATCTTGTCTGTGCGTGTATAAAGTGACAGTGTTGATGACTGGGCTTTTCAGGATTTTATGAACTGTGGAGAATAAGA